ATCAAACAGTAAAAAAATTGTTAATTCGACTTTTTTTTAAATATCCGTGTTCGATATATATTTAAACATAAATATAAAGATATAAACTAAATAAATAAATTTTACTCAAATGATATAATTACTCGAATCAAAAGAGTAATAACGAATGAAAAAGATATAAAACCCGAATAGCATTGTCCCTATTATGTATATCAATGTACATCTAGGGATGGACTGAAATTTTACTCAAATGATATAATTACTCGAATCAAAAGAGTGACAACGAATGAAAAAGATATAAAACCCGAATAGCATTGTACCTATTATGTATATTAATGTACATCTAGGGATGGACTGAAGGGGCTGATAAGGGTATTCACCTCTAAAAATTTTAAATTCTCGTATATTTTAGATATTTTATATTGATAGTTTATTTTCACCACTCTAAAATTTTATAAATTTATCTTTCTTAAAAAAATTATAAATTCACCGCCTAATGTAAAGTAATGTATCCCTCCATATATATATATATATATTAGTCTCGTTTATGATTTCCTCCTACAACACAAAAAAGAGATGATCAAATACATAACATATCTGAAGGAAGTAAGTGATGGAAGCCCATGGACGGAGGGCCATTGGGGTCCAAAGAGGTCATGACCATGATATAATTTATAATTTTAATTTATATATTAATATAAAAATTGTTTAAAAAATTGGGTAAATTAGAAGTTTAGTATTTAAATTATTATTTTTATTCTATTTTGGTATTTAAACTTTTTTAAATCATGTCTACCGTTTAGTTTAAGTTTTAATTTGATGCTCGTCATTTAAAAAAATTAACAAAACTTTTGATATGCTATTTTTTTTCAAAGATGACATGATATTATCATATGGTAATACGTCAACATCATAGTTAAGTTTTTAATGACGAGATAACAAAATAAAACTTAAATTAAATGTTAGGTATGATTTGGAAAAAAAATAAAGTTTGGGTACCAAAACAAAATAAAAGTAATAGTTTAGGCATTAAACGTATAGTTTATCTTAAAAATTACGTAGATTTCCTCTTTCTCAAAACATAATAAGTTGTAAAGCCTTGTTATTCCATCATAAAATAACAAAAGTAAGTCCTTTCTACTATGATCGTTAGAGATTTACTTAAGTGGTCCAAATTGAATTATGTCAAAGATACGAAAGCAACTTAGGCGGAAAAATTATAGGTTGTTAGATTAGGCTGTTAAGAGGTTCAAAAGCTATTATGCTTACCTCATTTGCACTATAAATTGAACATGTGGTTTGTATTGTTCACTGTCAAAACGAGGGTGTTTAACATGGTATCAGTTGCTTTCTTTCTGGGATAAATTCACGTTTCTTGTTGTGCAAGAAGAAGGCTTGCTCACTTCCAATAGTCTGGGTTTTCTAGGAAGACCTTCACTAACAAGAAGGTGAGTATCGTTCTTGACGAGTACAATTTCCTTTTATGGAAGCAGCAAATTATGTTGGCGGTTCGCAGTCATCGGCTTGAAAAACTACTCACCGATGTGGCTCAACCTCCGTCTACTTTGGTTCATGGGGATGATGGAACGATGGTGGATAATGAATATTTTGAAGTTTTCATGGCAGAAGACAGTGCACTCGTGTCGTGGTTACTCTCCACTATCAATCCGACGTTACTTCCTTAAATGGCGGGTGCTGAGACGGCTGCTGAAGTGTAGAAGACGATGAACTCCTTCTTTGCGAGCAAGTCAACGACAACTCTGATGAATTTGTACTATAGGTTGAAGACCGTCAAGAAAGGCGATCTTAGAATGAGGGCATACATCGCGCATGTTAAAGAGATCTGTGACGCCGTTGTAGTCGGTGACAGTCCGATCTCCGAGTTTGAACGGATTTGCACCATCCTTAACGGGTTGCCGCCAAAATATCGACTGGTTATTCAGGTGATAACCTCCAATCGAGAGTACCATTTACTTTAGAGGGAATTATCTCGGTTCTTATGGACGTTGAAACCCAATAGAAAAGTTTCGAGCAATTTGATTGCCTCAATATTAATGCTAACGTGGCTCATACCTCCATTGGTTGGGTGACCACGAACCGGACTGCTGATTGGGACACGTCGTCTAATAGCAATCGATCTGGGAAGGCTTCGACTTTTTAAGGTGGTCGTGGACGTGGTAGGAGCAAGGTACAGTGCCAGCTCTGTGGCAAAGTGGGCTATCTTGTGGATCGATGTTGGTATCCATTCAACAAAACTTTTCACCGAGTTTCTGGCTCAGGCAACTGTGACTATGTTAAGAATTAATCTTCATATGCTAATGTGTGTCATTTTAATCCAATGCATACGTGTGGTTGTCATATGTGGTCGATGGCTCATGTTACTTCAGTTACTAGTCGTGGTGACAATACTCGTGCATGAGACGAGTGGTGGTTCTACAAAGTGATGTGTAGACTCTGGATCTACTCACCATGTTACTACTGATGACTCGCAGGTAGATGATGGAGCTGACTATACAGGCCCTTGTAAGCTCTTAATTGGTAATAGTAAGGCTTTGGATATAGCTAGGGTTGGCAGGTCCTCTTTAAAAACTGTTTCACGTTCTTTGAAGTTATTTGATATACTGAATGTTCCTTAAATAACCAAGAATCTTGTTTCGGTGTCCAAGATTGCTAGAGACAATCGTGTTTTCTTGGAGTTCCATGCTCATGGTTTTGTGGTAAGGGGTGAAGCTACAAGAGCAGCGTTGTTGCGAGGAAAAGAGGTTGGAGGACTTTATGGATTTGATTCATGTGCCTTGGTTGAAAAGAGTTCAAGCCCTAAATCAAACGTTGCAGTTGGAGAAGCTCTTGAACACGATGTTTGGCATGGTCGTCTTGGGCATCCTTTTCTTGATGTCTTGTTTCAATTAAGTAATGAATGTAGCACTATTCGTTTGAATTTTTTTAATAAAACATGGTATTCTTTGTGCAATGTGTGTTAGTTAGGGAAAATTAATGCTGTCATTTTCTAATTCTACAATAGTGTACTCTAAACCTTTTGAATTAGTGTTCATAGGCTTGTGGAGACCTCCTCACATTGCCTCAAACGAGTTTAGGTATTATATTTCCTTTGTGGATTCCTTCTCTAGGCACACTTGGGTGTACTTGTTACGGGAAAAAGGTCAGGCGATACAAGTATTTCAACTATTTCAACAGGTGGTTTCCAATCAGTTTGGTGCAAACAGGTGGTGTCCATGGACTCTTCTACGTCTTATAGTGCGGCTCATCAATCCTCAGACTTGAAGTCTGGTTCAGGGCCTACAGCTGCAAATATGACTTTTTCTGTTAGTCCAAAGCTGCTTCTTGAAGTAAATGATTCTGGTTACAGTGCTGGCCCTTGTTCTGCTGGGGCAAGTGCTATGTTAGATTTTTTGGCTGAAGTACTAGTTGACTCTTCAACGGAGCAAATCAAAGCAGCACAAACTGTGGATAGTGTCTTGGAAATGGTTCCGCTATTTGTTGAAGCTGAATCTGTGTTGGTTTTCCAAGGTTTATTTCTCAGCAGACTAATGAATTTCTTTGAAAGACGTCTCTTGCGTGATGATGAAGAAGATGAGAAAAAGCTAGATGAGACCAAATAGTCTTCAAACTTAGATGCTTTATGCTGGATGATTGTTGACCGTGCTTACATGGGTGCTTTCCCAAAACCAGCAAGTGTACTGAAAACTCTTGAGTTCTTATTATCAATGTTGCAATTAGCAAACAAAGATGGTCGAATTGAAACATATAATAAATAAAGTACTAGAGCAATGTGCAGGAACAATGTGGGTGCAGCATATTGCTGCCTCAGCAAAATTTTCTGGGATAAGAATTAAAGGCATTGAGGGTTGGTGATGTTCGCCTACCTCCTTGGGCTAAAGGTAGTGCTACGGAGTTCATACGGAGGCAAAGAGAATCCTTGGAATCCGCTTTTGACTCAGAAAATCTGCACCATTGGATAGACCTCATTTTTGGATATAAACAAAGAGGAAAGGTTGGTGTTGGCATTCTCTGTGAAGCATATTTTGACCTCTTATCTCCTGCATTTTCTAATAATTGCTACTCATCCTAAGACTCGCACTCACATGCTTGAGAAATATAACAAAATTTCTCAAGTTTTCAATGGTACGATTTTGCCGCTAATTTAATATGCTATAATTCTTTCTGGATGAGTTGCCATTGCAGGTAGCAACTTCTTTCCTTTTTTTCTTTTTGCTTTGTTTTTAATTTGAAGAAAGAAAAGTCTTTATTATGGTCCCAATGTGCTCCTTTTCTGCCCTTCATTTTCTTGGTTGTTCATGTCAATGTTCTGCTCCCTTTCTGGATGAGTTCATGTCACTCCTAGAATATGTCTTCTTATTGTTCTGCTTGTGATTCTCTATAAATTTTTACAATTGACAGGCGTCTGAACAAGCTGTCAATGTTTTCTACCACTACACATACAAGGGGAGTGTTGATATCGATCCAATTACAGATCCTTTATTGAAAGCTTCCATTCTAGCTCAGATTAACCATTTCGGACAGACACCGAAGCAATTATTTCAAAACCCCCCCGTGAAAAGGCAGTCTGACAGAAAGGTTCCTCCTCACCTTCTTAAGCATTCAGCTAATCTTGTTGCACACGCAATACGGAAAAGCTCATCTTCCATTACTCAGATCGCAACTCTCAATGACAAAATTCTTATTGGTGGGGCAAGTACTTCGTTGAAGCATCGAACATTTACCAAATATGTCGCATGGGGTTTTCCTGACCGCAGCTTGAGATTTATGACCTATGACCAAGATCTACTCCTTTCGGTACATGAGAATCTTCATTGGGGGAACCAGTTTCTGTGTGTCGGTGTTAGCCGTGATGGTTAGATTTTGGTCACTGGCGCTGATGATGGTGCGGTTTCCGTTTGGAGAATCAGTACGGAGGGTCCTCGAGCCTTGATACGGTTACAGTTGGCGAATGTGCTTTGTGCTCACAAGGCCAAAATCACTCGCCAGCATGTCAGTGAGCCTTATATGCTGATTGTGAGTGGATCGGATGATTGCAGTGTTATAATATGGGACCTTAGCTCCTTCGGATTCATCAGGCAGCTTCCCAAGTTCCCAGCACCTATTTCTGCAGTCCAAGTGAATGATTTAACCGGGGAAATTTTGACAGCTGCTGGAATTCTGTTTGCTGTTTGGGGCATCAATGGAGATTGTCTAGCAGTAATTAACACATCGCAGCTGCCGTCCGACACTATACAATGTTTGACGAGCTGCACCTTCTCGTATTGGCTGGATACAAACTGGTATGTAACCAGTCAACAGAGTGGGGCCATTAAGGTCTGGCACATGATTCACTATACCGAGGAAGTGCGCACCTTAAGCAAATACACTAGAAGTGGAGCAGGAGTGTTACAGTTGTCTAAGTTACCAGAATACAGGTTGATGCTTCACAAGGAACTGAAGTTCCACGCACATCCGGTTACTGCCCTTCACATAACTGCTTACATGAAGCAGTTGCTGAGCGGTAATTCCGCTGGAAATTTGCTGTCTTGGACGTTACCGGTGTCAACCTGAAATATTTTAATCTGGGGTGATACTGTTAGAACAGCCATAATGTGATTTTTCGAAAAGGAAAACCAAGACAACAGGGCTGGCCAGGTAACTTCATAAGAGGAAGGGGATGGGAAACTCCTCCCAATCTTCCATATAAATGTTGAAAATTACAAGCATATGCCCGGCGGCTTGTGCTCTCCATCGTCAAAGGCAGAATTACAGGGCCACGGATTTGTTGTAAGTTTGACAGTGAAGGATATTTCTTTTGAAAATCTCTCTCTACTGTTTTTTTTAATGTAAATAGATTTTGAATTTTTAGTAGTGTCTGTTGAAATTGTATAGCTAAAAAATGTGTTTGGGGATTTTGAATTGTTTGTTGGAATTGGTCTGGCTATTGCGGAGGAATACGTTGGTGTTAAAATTCTCTTTGCATAGTCCAATCGTGTAATCCTTAAAGCATGTATGAAATTTTGGACCAAACAAATACTATTCTTAATTATTAGTAACACTACATGCGGGTTTAACAGGATGTGACGTTAGATTTCTTAAATGAAATCAGGGATCAAATCTTAACGTTTTGAACGAAAGACATTAGGTTGAGAAAATCATCCCATAACATTGTACTTCTATAATATTCGATCTAGATAAGTCAAATAATAAAGATATTAATGATTATGAAAGACAAAACCTAAAACAATCTTTAACCGATGATTATTAACAAGATAGAGATTCAAATGAAATTTTTTTACTCATAAGTTATTTGAATTAGGTTTGAATAAAACAATCAAATTTGACACGTTTTGAAGTTAATTTCGAACAATATAAATTATTAATTTTAATTTTAATATTTAAATTGAATAGTTACGGAATCAATCGATTACATACTAATATTTGATTATTATAAAATGTTTTAATTACTCAACCTCAAGTACGAATAATATGTTTATTCAAGTAAGTATTAATCTCCTCTTTTTAATTAGATAAACAAGCCTATTCAACATACTTAATCACTCTTTGCTTAATTAGATAAACGAACCCATTCTATCCTAATCCAATAAGCTCAAACAATATAATTTCTATTTGAATCGCTCTGTTCTGAATAACGTCAATATTACAAGCATGGACTATATATATATATATACGTGTACAAATACATGTATATATACATATACATATACATATACAAATACAAATACATATAACATATAACATATAACATATAAAATATGCATATGCATACACATATAGCAGCTCCCAAAGGAGTAAACCTCCAAAAAAATCCATACATAAGAATAGAACCATCATTGGCAATTAGCTAGAGGAATCAAAATCAAATGTAAAGTTAGAGCAAACCCCTCCTGCACTGAATCCGGGATACGACGGCTCGAGTACCGTTCATGGTATCGTTCGCATAACAAATGCTGGCAGTGTGTTAAAACTGGGCTGATCCGAGTAAGATAGGATTTTCGAGTTCCAAAGGTGGAATGAATGTGCCTAAGATATATGATATGAGTTCTAGAACAGAGAAGGGTTAGGATCGGATTGGACTCTCTCGGCCTTGTTTCTTATATTACATCGTTGTTAGTGTTGATTCTGAACAGTTTATTTGCTTATTCTTTCAGAGACTTACTGGATTCAACATCGAGTCTCGAGCCTGCGGTGTCAAACGTTTCCTGCAGGTGATAGCCTGCTTAACGATGTCGAATAAGGGTGCGTCCGAAACAGGTATGAGCTTGACAAACCAAGCTATCGGCCATGAAAATGCCGCAAGTAAGATACAAACTCCCCATTGCCATAGTGTCAACTTCTCTGTATCTGCAAACTTCTTTAAGAACTCCACCATAACGACCTGAAGAACGATCGTTACTCCGATGATTCCGAGAAACAATCGATTCTTAAGTATGCCTTCGAAAACATTCTGTTTATCCAACTTCCTTGCGTTGAACTCGTTAAAAACTTGGCATAGAACAAATGTATTGAAAATAAGTGTGTCCTTTACCCTCTCGTGCACATTGAATATCGATTCACCTCTGAATTGTAAGATCAAGAGAATAGTTATCTGGTATAGGGCTTGTGCTAAGAGGTTCCTCCACATGATATTCGTAATTAGGGGTTCTGTTCGACCGACTGGTGGCTTGTGCATGAGTTCATTAGTTGGCCTATCCGTTGCAAGGGCAAGTGCACCTAATGTATCCATGATGAGGTTCACCCATAGAAGTTGAACCGCAGTCAAGGGAACCTCACCGGCTGAAACCGCTGCAATGAAGTTGATTACGAGGGCTGCCACGTTTACGGTAAGTTGAAACTGAATGAACTTTTGTATGTTATTGTACACACATCTGCCCCATCGTAGAACTGTGGCAACTGAGCTGAAGTTGTCATCCAATATGACAATGTCCGAGCTCTCCTTGGCCACCTCGGTGCCTTGAATGCCCATTGAAAGCCCGATATCAGCTTCTTTTAGTGCAGGAGCATCATTAGTGCCGTCCCCTGTGACCGCAACCACATTACCTTTCTGTTTCAAGCATTGTACCATCAAAAGCTTGTCAAATGGAGAGGACCTTGCCATCACCTGGATCTTGTCTACCTTCTCTAGTCTCTCATCAGGTGTGTAACTCCGAAACTCGATACCTTCTACGACTTCTCCGCTTCCTTCCCGGTAATCTGGTCCTAGAATTCCACATTCTGTAGCTATAGCCTTTGCTGTGAAAACATTGTCCCCGGTAATCATTTTGATGCGCACCCCTGCAGATTGACAAGCTTCCACGGCTTTCTTGACCCCTGGCCGACACGGATCCTTTAAACCAACGATCCCGAGCAACGTTAAACCATCTTCTTTTATTCTTTGATGTGTCTTTCCGTTCCGATCATCATAATCTTCCGCTTCTTCTTTCGAAACTTGCTTATGAGCAAAAGCAATGCACCGTAGACTACTGGCTGCCATGCCTTGGATTATAGTTTGGATTCTGCTCCTTTCGCCTTCATTCATGGCCCGTCTAATCCCCTCGCTCTCATAATATTGTGAACACATTGCTACAATCATCTCTGCAGCTCCTTTCCAGTGTACATGAATCGATTCATCGGCCTTTCTCCGAACTGAAACCCCGCTACGCTTTTTCTCAGAGTTGAAGGTTTCAACATGGAGAATGCTGTATTGTTGCTTCAACTTTTCCATATCCATACACAAGCCTAAAACAGCCCAAGATAGAATTGCCTTCTCGGTTGGACTGCCCGAAAACTCGGGAAGGGATCCCGATACCGATTCGCAGATGCTACCAACTCCTTGGTAGAACAATTCAAGAACATTTGGAGCAATTCCTTTGGCAAGATCATCCTCAATGGACACTTGCCCGAGCCAAAACTGTGTAACTTTCATCTGATTCAATGTCAAGGTGCCGGTTTTATCGGTACAAATGACCGTAGCCGAGCCCATTGTTTCACAAGCCGAAAGTTTTCGGACCATTGCTTGATCAGCCATCATTCGTTTCATCGAGTAAGCAAGTGTAAGAGTGACAGCCAGTGGTAGACCTTCCGGGATTGCCACAACCACGATCGTTACCGCAGCGGCAACGATGCGAACAATCGCATTCAAGACATCGTCGACATCGGTCTTGCTACCACGGTACTCTGTCTGGCCATAGTCATCCTTCGTATTTCCAGTGAAATAACGAATTAATAAGACTACAAGCACTAGAAATGCCACTGCAAGACCGACTTTTCCGATCGAAGAGGTCAGTTTATCGAGGCGAGTTTGCAGCGGCGTCCGTTCGTTTTTATCACCGGTTACCGAACTCATCATTTCGCCCCATGTGGTGTCCATTCCGACCGACACTACGAGCATTCGACCGTATCCATCGACCACCTTAGAACCCGAAAAAAGGAAAGGGTTCATGCATGCATCTATTTCCACATGATCACTCTCGCCCGTCATGCTTGATTCATCCACCTGCAATGAATATCCATCCAAGAACAATCCATCTGCCGGAATTTGATCTCCGATCTTCAAAAAGACTGCGTCTCCAACAACGAGATCGAATATCGATGTATGTCGCCTACGACCACTTCGAACAACTTCAACTTTGATATTGTTACTTATTTTCGACAACTTATCAAATTGAGTCTCCTGTCGGAAGTTGCTGAATGCAGAGACGACGACGACGAGAAAGACGGCGACGAAAATACTTCCGCCTTCGTACCATCCTTCTTGACATATCAAAAATTGCTTTAACATTATTTTATTTTATTTTATTTTGTTTATAATTATCGATACTTAATTTATTGATCAATTATTTTATATTAACTATAAAATAATTTTTTAATATAATCTTTTTTCACTCACAATATGAAGAACAAATTCTAATTTTATTTAAAAAAATTAACATCTAATCTTATTAAACTAATAGATAGTTGATAACTTGATATCTAACCCTACTTTTAAATTTATTTTCAATTGAATTTAGAAATCTTTTAATAAAAATTAAAATTTAATATCAAAATGCATATTAATGTACACAAACGTAGCATAATAAACTTTTTTTAACAAAAATTGTGTCATAATAAACATCATATAATATTGTTTAACATAATAATAATAATAGTAGTATATATTATTTATCTTTTAACATCTTAGAATTTAAAGAGTGGTTTCAATGGTAGAACTCTTTAAATAATTTAATTTATAAACATGCATAAATTTACTAATATTTAAAATTAAATACAAATAAATATTTTAATACATTTAATAAATTTTATTATATTTATGCTTATATTTACATGATGAAGCAACCTACATAAAATCTAATGTTTGATTTAATTATTTAAAAGTATTGGATTGAAAATACAAATATTTAGAACAAAAAATCAGAATTGATGGTTTGACGGTTGACCGTCGAGTACACATAAAGCCAAGTGTGAATGAAGAAATTTTGTTTACCCAACGATTCTTTGAAGGAAACCGAGTTCGGCCTCAATGTCGGCCCTCCTTTTACTATATAAATACAGGTAGAATATATAAAAATAACTAAAATATAATATAATATTACAAAAATAAGATAGGAAAACATAAAGAGTTAAATCTATTATAATCTGTTTTAATATCAGAACGATTATCGACAAATAAATAAACACAATAAAAAAAAGAAAAAAAATAAAGAAATACCAAGATTTACATGAAAAGCTCAAAAGGATAAAATCACAGGAAATACAAAGGATGATACATTTTTATTCTATTATAATTACTGTCTTAGTACAACTATACATATATGTATAGAAAGAATGCTCTAGGATTTAATTTATTATCGTATAAATTTCTTGTAATTTATCGTCAATATTAAAAAAAATCATTTTCAAACGTAATTTTTTTAGACTTTTCATAAAAAGGTACATATTTTTATTTTTTAATTATTTTATGAAATTTCACGTATTGTTATCCGTAATATTACTGGTACTTTATTTCTCTAAATTATTCTTTCTACAAAATAATCTAAATTATTCTTTCTACAAAATAATTATCGGTCAAGGCGAGAATCGAACCAGTTGTGATAATTTACGAGCACAGGTATTGTGAATATACATAAAATCAGAGGCATCAATCACGTCCAATTTCGGCGTCGTTTATTCTCGGCAGCTTTTAACGTGGTGGAAAAGAAAGAGTTTCAGCACAGCTCACTTTTGCTTTATTAGGGACGAAAGACCACTCGCGGATGTACATGGCCGTTAGGGTCGGTAAATGCTCGCCTTTAAATTTTTTCAAATATAAATGCTTTTATGTAAAATTCGAATTATTTTATTTAATTATTGATTTTGTTCATCTTAAAATTTTATTCTATTCATCCTATATTGTAAATATAGGTATGTCCACCTTTAAAAAAAATTCAGATCCACCACCAAAGAATACAGATAGCGAAAGCAGTTGAAAAATGTGAATGCCAGACGAAACGACGACTTGAAAGAAGTTTCGTCGCTATTTTTAGGATCCCATGCGATAAGTCTTAATTATTTAATTAATCTTGTCGAAATCGCCATCGCCACCTCTTTCATTGCATTTTCTGCTCTCGATTCAAGTTTTATTCGTCATCTTATCCACGCAGTCATGCGATCTTATTTTATAATTATATTAACATATGTCCATGAAATGTCGTAAATATAATACTTTAAGACATGATTAACGCATAATAAAATGTTTACTTATAACATATTTATGAAATTATGATTTTAGCGAAAATTTGTAATCTTATTTTAAGTATGTTCAATTCTTCTCTAAAATTTTTAAGTATTCGGAGTCTTGTAGAGGATCATACCTCTATGTTCGTATTCAAATATGTTGAACTACATCACCTTTACCAAATCTGAATAACACTAAACAACGTCACCTTCAGTGATGATTCAAGGCAGTTGTAACGGAGAAAATCCGATGGTCAAGGTATTTGAATACCCACAACAATTAATTATAGCAGCGAGGACATCAACATCGGTCATTTCATACAAAGCAATTCGAGTCGTCTCGTAGCTTGTACCAAGTTGAAATTGCAGGGAAAATTCAATTATATGAGTGGTTGATCTTTGACAATTTGAACAAGAAAATACACCCAAAGACGCCTGGAAGAATCCAAGCTTTGCATTATTCAAGACAGCACTGGCATGTTACCATTAGCAGGCATCGAGGTCTCGGCATGGGGGAGGTTTTGGATCAGTCAGCAAAGTGGTATTTCCGCCTTCTGGTCCACACTTGATTCGCTGAGGATTTTGAGTGCCATGCTGAAATATGGGAGAGAAATTGAAACTTGCATTAGTTGCATCACTATGGAAGCAAAAACCGATAAATTCCAGTAACGAAAACGTGTTGCACTTACCGGAGGCTTCTCTCCCCTTCTTAGCAGCTCAACTATCTCAACAACTCTTTTTGGAGTAACATCTTCCTGCATTATTAAACATGAAAGATTAGGTTTAAACCCGGTTTAGTTCTGTTAGTTCATGCAACCATTAATAAAAGGTGGCATCCAATAGGTTTGGTGTTCAATTCAACACCCCAACATTTGAGCTTCTTTCCCCCACAAAAGAAAGTTGAAAGGAATTCTCACATAGTAATTATAAGTATATCCCTCAGATCCATTGGAGTAATCAGCAACAGTGATCATAGGAGCATTTACGCAACATCCCTGCAGGAATTAGTAAAATGTCACACTTGCCACTCTAATAATGAAAAAAAGGTCAGCATAGAATAGACTGCGAACTCCTAATTGCATTTTTCTCAACAAAAACACCCTACGGGTTATCATAAACAGGTTTTCATGCGTTCCGACTAGTGAGCTACTCAACAAAATTTCTGGTATTGTAGGAAGAAACCCTTTTCATGCATTTGTTCTCCAGAAATCCTCTGGGAACACTCGCCATAAACTGATAAATATGATTACTTCCATTCGTACTATATATACCATAAAAAAGAAGCAAAAAGGTTAATTTAGAAAATACAGATCTGTACAGGTAACAGGTAAAGGAAAAGACTTACCATGCATTCCATTTCTCCAACTGAGAATAAACCATCCCTCGTTACCTCTGAACACCAAAACAATAGGTATTCAATATTTATGTCATCTAAAATGTCAAACTCTGACATGAGTTTTGCTAGAGGTCTAAATTTAAGTATGAATAACTACAAAACTTACCATTGCGCTTAACTCCCAAGTGATTCAATAAGGCTTCCTCAATTTCTCGTGAACCACGAATCATACAAGGTGTTGTGCCACAAACCAAGAGATGGTATTTCCCGACCTGAGAACAATTGACCAAACACTAGGTACTGTAACTTTGTCGTTTGACAGTGCCATAAAGAGGCTTCAAGGTGCCAAATAAAGATATAATTCTTACCTTTGACCGATTGAACATTGAATAAAATGTTGCAACCTCATAAACACGAATAGGAGCAACTTCTATAACCTTCGCAACCTGCACAGCCATTGCATGTTTGATTCAGAACAAAACTCATGCGCTTTTGCATTAAGAAAAGGACTGCACCCTTTCATATTATTTTAACTAATTTGCTTGGCCACAGATAAGAACCTGAATATTATTAGGTGATCCACAAAATGTGATTAAAGCAAGCACTGTTACAGTGGTTAAAAGATCTAACCAAATATCGGAATGACACAGTTATGTATTTCAGTCTAACAATCAAATTGAACCTCAGCTCAAACAATTCTAGTTGTAATTATCTTGCTTTGTACTCCTAAAGTTGTATCAACTTTTCCTTTCCTCAGAGGCCCTATACATTCATCAACTTTAATCTTCAGTCACATCACATTGTATATTAACACAAGATCAGGTACTACTAGTCCAGTACTAACATGCTTAAGGATTCCCCTTCTGCTTTGAGTGGTGCAGTAAAAATGAAGCACAATAATAGGACAATCTTAAGCAACTTTGCTGGTTGGTTAACACTACTAATCCCTTTTTCTGGATATTAGTATCATGTCAGCAGTCAGCTGTATCAAATTAGTGATTGCTCAGAGTTTACCAGCAACATAGAACATGCATAAATGCTACCAAATATGGAAAAAGGGGTATTTAAAAGGGCATTAGTAATTTATCTGAAAATAGATCCCCCCGGAAATTGTTGAAAATATAATAAATATGATTTGGGAAATTTTTATTCAAGTTGTCAAAAGTACTTAAAAGGGACTTGAACAAAAAGTTTATGGAAAAGCAATCCTAAAAACCATACATATGTCATAAAGTACAAGGTTGTAAAGCATTTTGGCTTAAAAACAGCGTATTTATTGCAAACCAGAAACCAAAAACATTTAATATTAAGCCCAAAAAATACCACACTCAGCCTCAAAAGGTGGTTAGTTTTCAAGTCCAAAAGAATCATAGGTCTAATTCTTCATAATAACTAAATATCATGGACTTTCTAAAAGTTTGAAACGTACAAACTGCAGAGTATTAATGCATGCAATCAAATTTATTTAACATTATTCATGCCACATACAGCGTTCATTGCTGAAACAGGAAGCCATCCTCCATGCTGCTGCTGAGCAAGATCTAGCAAAAGAATAACAGCAGATTGCTTGTAGTTGGATGGATAATGAGACAATATCTCCTTGACCTGCATAAAAAAGTTTGGAGTAAGACCATAATCAATTTGGATTTTAAAAACGTTACAAATTACTAAGGCACTTAAAACACCAAAGGTAAATCTAAATCTGATTCAACTTACATAAAATTCAAAAGAGATTGATGTAAGAAGAGAGAAAAACATGTATTCTACTATCATAGAATTCTTCGAGCCTATGATAATTGGACTCGGTGTGATCGACAGATACAATAATGTTAATTTTTTTTAATGTTTTCCTAAGTATTCAAAAGATCCTTGGAAGTCGATATCCTCATTCCTAAGTCCGTACATATATTGCACACAATTATGGGACGATTTCAATATCTTACACTTATTGGATTTCACAAGAGCTCCTCAAATTTTTACCCAATCTACTAATACCTTCAAATTCATAAGCTTTTCAAACTACAATGATGGAGAAAATATAACCATAACTCCAATTGCAAGCATTTGAATTTGTACTAACCTTAGCTTTGTTCGCCTCGGAAAATTCCCATGGAAGGTCGGGATTGTTATCTGGGGTATCAAGATGCTGCAGGGAAAAAGAAAAACCGAAATTCATTCAATCATTATCTTTATTCTAATAACGGAAAATCCCGGAAAATTTGTAATGTTGAAAGATTGGAACTTACATAGTTCAAGGCCGTGGATAAAGATCGACACGCCTGCGGAAGAGGGAAATGAGATCGAGGAGGTGTTTGGATGAGCAGAAAATTACGGAAATGACGAGAAAGAAGTAAAGGGGGATGAATACCTGAGAAGATTGGCGGAAAGCTTGACGGATCTCGAGAAAACGCTGGGACGCGAGCCGAGCAAGCATGATCGAGAGGAGATTTCGAGACTCAAACTCACGGCAACTACTTGAAACAAGTGAACAAAGAGAAGAAGATTTGGAGAAGAAAGTCGAAGCAATTACAAGCTGGTGTATTGCTAATATTTACGCTTCGGGCGTGTTTGTGGAGCGTGGTTTGGTAATGGTTGGGCCTATGACTCAAACCACAATGATTGGGCCTATAATATCATCGTCCAATACTATTTGGATTTATTAAAATACTTTTTAGAAGAGATAGGATTTAGTTTAGGGTGATAATAGGTCGGGTCAAGTTGAGTTTTTAGCCCCCAAACTTAACCTAGTATTACATCCCTTCATATTGTTATTTGATATGATTCGAATTTAAGAAGGTTTCACCCTACCTTAAAATCGAATAGTTTTTAGGTAAAACCTCACATATGGCCCAACTTAAAACACACACACATATATATTATTATTATTTTTATCAGGTAAAACATTGAAATTAATTTAAAAAAGTAAAAAAAAATTGTTATTTTAATTATCCATAAATATATAAAGGATAATTATAAAATTATCTCGGATTAAAGATTTTTCATCCTGAACTCAAACACAATCTAACCCAGTTACACCTTTTTAAAAAGACCTAACGATCATGAATTTTCATAAAAATAAACTATAGAATTGGGACAAATTTCATCAGATTTGAGTCAAATGTTCATCTCTAACCTAATTACACTGTATAAGATTTTCTAGTTAAACATTGATTTATTATCATTGATCTAATAAAAAGAGAGTAAATGAGTCCATAAAGTTTAATATCAACCATCCTATATACCTAAATCAATATAATACTAAAGAGATGAGATTTCTTATGCTACAAGAACATGTCTTAAAATCAACAGAGAAAGTTAAGAGTCTCCACTCTAACAAAGTCTCAACGTGAAATGATCTATTGTGTGAAAAAACCATTACACCATGACATGATGGATATATCTCCGCTCTGTCATGGCGTTATGTTTCGACACTAAATAATACATCGCCAGAAAATCTCCATTTATGTTTACGCCAAAGTTTACAAGCATCTCTGATTACATCTCCACTTTAAGCGATGAGATTTTCTGTCTTGAAAACTTCTATAACAAAATCATTTTTCTAAGCATGAAGAACCTCCGTCTAATAACACGAGGCAAGTAAAATTTCACTTCGCACTTACCGAAATAATAAGTATAACTTTGTATTAAGCGTTGAGATATCTTCGAATAATATTCATGGGACGTGAAAGAACTCTAAACAAATAACGAAAACACCGTTATATAACGTGTCTTGAAGTATTAATAAAATTTTGGTCATACCCTACATTGAGAGTAATATTAAGCCTATTCGGTACACCGTTAAGCATTAAGAATCTTTTCGGTGTATATAAGGATGCATAGATAATTTCATCTAGATCTAGAAATTTTAACGCAAAGGGCAAGAAGATCCTCCACCAAATAAGCGTTAATATACCTCCAACCAGAATTAAACGTTCTACGAATAAAGAAAAAGTGCTAAAGGCTCGCCCAAATAATAAAACGTAAAATAACAGTCGATAAAACTGAAAATGACAAAGTATAAAAAAAATAAAATTCCATCAAGTCAAAAGGCTCTCAACAAGATTCCTAAAACCCTCGTTACAAAAAGAATTTAAGTTAAGAGATTCTAAACAAATGCCTTCCTACTAACAACTTGACTCCTTTAAATTTCATCTAAAATGAAAATTGAGGTCCTTTTGAAAGGCATTCTATAAATATGATGAACGATTTTGAACACATGTATCAAATTAAGCCACGTATTAATATTTTCTACGTCAGTTGGGATCTTTGGTTAAAATCCTACACCTACAAGATCTTTTAAGGAACATATCACCCGTCGGACATAAAAATATCATAACCTGTGAGTCATCTTTAATGCATGGTAATATATATTTAGTTTGTTAACTTATTAGTAGTCATAATGATCATATCATCAGTTAAAATCACTATAAATATTTATCAGTCACAATTAAAATAAAAATTTGAAAGTACTCCTCATGTTATACTTTTATTTTCTCCTAATACTCTCAAATTTCTCATAAAAAAATATTGATCAACGACCATTATTTAATTAATTATAACTTTTCACTTAAATAAAAAAATGAATAGTCAACCATCAACCCTTCCAAATTTATTGTACAAAGTATGGATAAAAACATTCATAAGAAAGTTTACATAATAAACTACACGATTTAAAAAACTTCATGAAATTTCATGAATTGTAGCTCAATCTAGGATGAGATCAATTGAGATCAAAAGCACAACTAAAATTCCCAAATTCATCAATTCTTCCCCATTTCCCCCAATCCATTCCCCTCCTATTTCCTCACATCTGTGACCGTAGATAATGCCTTTAATCTAACGGTCAGTATACAAACTTAAAACCCACAGCGATCCGTGTCATAGTACTTTCCACCAATCAAATTTCGTCTTTTAGATATCGTCTCACTCACATTTGACTATTAAATATCTTTCTTTCTCAGCCGACGTTATCGGTAAGCATCAACCTTCGATTCCTCCCAATTTCGTACGAATCCCTAACCCGAATCTCTAGATTCCCCCAATTTCGTTGTTAATATCTCGAATGGCAACCGTCGCGGTTGATAAGGCGCCGAAATCGGCCAGAGAGAAGCCCGCCGCGAAATCCGGCAGAGGAAAGAAAGCTAAAGAATCTAAGGCCAAGAAGGCGCCGGCGGCTCCCAAAAAGCCCCGAGCTCTTCCGTCTCATCCGTCGTACGAAGAGGTAATTCATAGCTTGAATAGTAGTTTAATGTATTTTTTAACCTTTAAACTTTAATCTGTTCATGTGTTGATGTTTGATTTTTCTGTTATAGATGATCAAGGATGCGATCGTAAGTTTGAAAGAGAGGACCGGTTCGAGTCAGTACGCCATCACTAAATTCAATGAAGAGAAACAGAAGAATCTTCCAGCGAATTTCAAGAAGCTTTTGCTCGTTCATTTGAAGAAGCTTGTGGCCGCCGGGAAACTGGTTAAGGTTAAGAATTCGTTTAAACTTCCGCCGGCTAAGTCATCGAAGCCGGCCGCAAATGCCTCTGCTCCTGCGAAGAAGCCAACGGCGACTAAAGCCAAGGCTAAGCCTGCTTCGAAGCCTAAGGAAGTGAAGAGTACGAAGAAAGCCATCAAAGCTCCGGCGAAGACAAAAGATGCTCCGAAGGCGAAGACTAAACCGGCGGCTAAATCAACAAAGCCCGCTCCTAAGGTTAAGTCTACTACAAAAAAGACGAAGCCGGTGGCTGCTGCTGCAGCTACGAAATCAAAATCTGCAGCAAAGCCGAAGGCCAAGCCGGCTAAGGCTGCGAGGACCTCAACAAGGACGTCTCCTGGAAAGAAGGCTGCTCCTGCTCCTACTCCTACTCCTAAATCAGTTCCAAAGAAGGCTCCGTCGAAGAGTGTGAAGTCCAAGGCGGTGAAGTCACCGGCGAAGAAAGCAACGACTAAGAGGGGAAAGAGATGAGAGAACAAGAGGATGACCACGTAGGGCGAAGAAAAAAGCGTCGGATATTAAACCTTAAGTTCGTGTTGAAGTTATTTTTAGACGTGTTTTTAAGTTGAAATTGGAGCTCCGAATTGTTTCTTTTCTTTTTAAATGATCGTGGAATGAGAGAATCAAGTATTTTCAGTTGTAGGATAAAAATACTGACTTTTAGTATAGAGTCTGATTGTAGGATAAGAATGAGATGATATTGGAGCTCTCAATTTTCCATTCCTGTGATGATACATCTCTTAATGAATTTTATCGACCGATTTGATATTTAAATTAAATTTATATTATTTTGTATTTAAATGATATATTAATTTGAATATTAGTATTAATCATTAAATATATTAAATTAAAAGGTATTTATTGTTTATTAAATTTCAATATTAAAGATAGATTTTATTTTTTTAAATATTCTAAACTAAAATAATATCTATTTTAGTTTGAATAATAGAAGGTGTGTATATTTTTTGAATATTTTAAATTAAAAGATATTATTATATATTTAAATTTAAATATTAAAATATATCTGATTTGATTAAATTTTTCTTTGAAATCTCTTATAATTGATATCTCAAAATTCAAGAAAAAGAAAGAAAAAATAACTCTTCCATTAATTTTCGGTGATAGATAAAGGCGATGACATAGTACATGATCTCTATAGATGTGCTACTATAATTTCTTATCTAGTTGTTGTATCCTGAGAGATAGACAACCAACAAACTCAAGCACTAAAAGAGCGGTTAAAAATTTGTCATAAGAAAACTGTGTAGCGACATACCTCAATTATTTTCGGTCAAAAGACCAAAAATAAAAAGGAGTATTTTTATTTTTATATATTTATTATTTATTTTTAAAAAGAATAATTTATTTTATTTTATTTTTTCAGGTTCCATTTCGTAAGGAATTGGTCTTCTATCTTTCTTAATCCGAGATGATTCGAAAATTATGAGAAAATCAAGATAATGAAAATTTATTTCGGGATTTTTTTAGCCATCTTAACGAGTTTGCTAAAATCTCAAAGTGGATAAATCTGTTTAACAGAAATTATCGTGAAAGCAACTTTGGTTACTATTTTGTTTCATAACATTGATTATGTTCGATAAAAAATTAAAAAATAAACGAGAATTAATTTTATGTTTATTATAATTTTTTATTCTATGTTTAAAAGCAATCAAGATTTTAACGGATTATTATTTAAAATAGAAGTCGATTGAACAACTTTGCTATTGATTTGTTTCAAAATTTTAGTTTTCTATCTAATTTTTTTGGTAGAATAAATCAAATTTTAATTTCGATTTATTGTTATAAGTATTATTAATTATAATTTAACGTCTTAAACGAAGCAATGGATAATCCTATCGGTTCATCAAACTCGCAATATGGAGTGTTGTTTTTTCTCATATTTTGGATTAAAAATCAACGGCGTCAATGGTCATGAGCCACAACGAAAAGCTTATGAAATTGTATGGATAGAAGTTTAAGATACGACAACATAAGATATTCTATTTAGTCATATTTGGCCAAATATTTGATGATCGTCCTATTATTAGAGAGGATTACCACATTTGCTATTATTAAAGTTTGAGAGCATTCTGACTTCTTATGCCGAACTACATCCTGAATGGATTGTCATATACACAATATAAAGTGTATGGTATCCAACAAAAGGAATGTCTTGACTATTTTGATACATACTCTATTGTTTCAATAATAACACTCATAAGAATAATACTTGCAATTGCCGCTGTGCAAAATCTAGAATTACATCAAATAGATGTTAAAACAATTTTCCTAAATGGAGACCTTGATGAAGAAATAAATATACACGAAATAATCTAAACTATTCAAAAAATATTTAGGATGTATCTAAACTATTTAAAAAATATACACGAAATAATCTAAACTATTCAAAAAATTATTTCGTGTATATTTATTTCTTCATCAAGGTCTCCATTTAGGAAAATTTTTTTAGGATGTAAACTATTCAAAAAATTATTGATCTTTTATATATTTCTTCAAAATACCTAAATTATTCCAAGTTGTTATAGACTTATAGTTTTAGGATGTAACTAGAATATCTTAAAATTTAAAGATCAATATAAAATTAAAACTATAGTTTGAGGACACGATATGATTAACTCTTATTATTATTTTGGGTAAATGACAGTGATCATCACTGAACTTTATTCTCTCTCCTATTTGATTCTTTGTACTTTAAACCCATTCAATTTTTTCACTGAATTTAATACAATTAGCATTTTTTGTAACTCAACCGTTTTCTCATTAAACGATGTTATATATGAGTTGTTATATAGATGCAAAATGTTGTCGCTTTGGTGAAAATTTTATTTTTCTAAAACAGTATCGTTTTAATTTCATTAAATATTTAACGGTCGAATGACAAAAAATACTAATTGTATTAAATTCAGTGAGAAAATTGAACAGATTTAAAGTAATGAATGAAATTAGAGAGATAGTAGCGTTTAGTGATGATTGTTGTAATTTACCCTATTAATTTTGACAGTAAAAATGGGTTAAATTCGGATGAGTTACAGTTCGATTTGACTCATCCATGAACGCATATGATTGGCATTGGTTTACATTACCCCTATAAAAAAGAAGAGAGAAGGAGAAGAAAAGAAAAGAGCAGAAAGCAGAGTTATGGTTTTTTTTGTATGATTAATTAGGCAGAAGCTTATAATAGTTATAGAGAAACCAAAATGTAAAATTTTAGAGCTTTTCCTGAATTAATCATAACAGTTGGATTCAACGGTCAGTCCTTTTCTCGGGAAAAAATTAAGAGCTTTCCATTTCCTCTTTTTTTCCTTTCTTTTTCTCCTTCCTTCTTCCTCCTCCTAGTCCTCACCATCATCGTCCATCTCAATTCCCCCATAAGGTATCATTTTCTCATTTTTTTTATTGGATTCAAGCTTTTCATCATGAAAAATATGTGGTTGAAATTTCATTTTTATATTGGGTTTTGGATTATAAAGCTTCCCTATGTGTTGTTTTGGCTGTTTCAATGGATCTGATTATTGGGTTTTCTTTCTTTTTTGTTTATTTACATTAATAGGGTAGGTTTCAAGTCTTTGATTTTAATTTAATTGCTGTCATTGTTGGTTGATGATCCCAATCATTATACTGCACATGTCAATTGATTGCAGTTTACTGTTTGATTCAATTCTAAACTGTCTCCATTGTCCTCTTTAATTGTTGGTTATCAAGAAATTCACATTTTCCTTTTAAAACATTTTGATTTTTTTACCCTTTAAAGGATTTATTTCACTTGATTGTTATTGCCTTTGAAGGTTTGAATTTGATATGGTTGCAAATTCTTACATTCTTAGAATGAGTTTTGTTTGTTATCTTTATTTGTGTCGAATGAATTGAAGCGAAATACACCGTTATGGCAATCGTCTCGTGTGTTCAAGTATATGCATTTGTGGGTGTGTTTTTCATTTTTATTTCTTTGTACATTTTTGATAGCTTGGAAACTTTGTTTTGCATCTGATATTTGTTCATTTTGTCAAGTGGGGTTATTGCTGACTTGATTGATTGTTTCTTTATCTTGTTATCAAAGCTTGCCGCATTGAATCGGGGATGGGATTGTCAGCTTTTTATTGCAAGGTTAAGAACTGATTTATGCATCGATCAAGACTTAATGGTATTCATCGAGTTATGAACCTTGTGGTATCCTAGAGAAATTATTGGGGAAATGGCAGTAGGCGATACTTCACACATTCAAAGGATTTTGAAGGGGTTTGCAACCGTCCTCAAGTCCGCTGCTTGTGAATGTTTTCTGATCGTTCTGCTGTTTGTTGATGCTTCCTTATCTTACCTGCTGACCAGATTTGCGCATTATTGTGGACTGCAATCGCCTTGCATTGTATGCTCTAGGCTTGATCATGTTTTCAGAAGTGAAGAACCCGGATATTATTGGAATCTATTTTGCAGCAAGCATAGATCAGAGATTTCATCGTTGATTGCCTGCAGCATTCATGGGAAGCTGGTTGATGGTCGTAGTGTGTGTGAGAATTGTCTCTCATCACACTTTGAGGATACCAAATCCAACTCATACATGCATAGGGTTTCTTTAGGAAACTTGGGGATTGATCCTGCAGGTTTTGGCTATTATGTGTGTTTATGTTGTAATGAAACCTGGACTCCGGGACAAAACGCCCAAGGACTACCCCTCATAAAATCACGTGGCATTGCGGTTGAAAAGCCAAACATTAATTTGCCACGTCACTTAAGACATCGAAGTGATGCGAAGAAGATAAAGGAGAAGCCTTCTGCACCAGCGGAGACTTGTTTTAGAAAAACTGGATTTGATCCTCCGTCTCATGATGGATACACTGAGCTGAAGATCACTTCTGAATCGGAGCATGAGATTCCATTTTCTGAAGACGAGGTTAGCAGTTGTATGGTTCCTGATATGTATAAGATTCAAAAAGAATATCTAGTTCACTCTGCTCTGGAAGCTCCATCTAAAAGACTGTACAGTGATTCGGCTAAAAGAAAACAGTCTGATGCTAGTGAGCACTATGATGTAAGATGTTTTCCTCCTGATGTCCTCAGCGACAATGATGTCTGTGACAGTAACGAGCAGCTGGCTGATCAGAGATCCAATCGTTCAGTTTTGCCAGAGGTTATTTCTCTAGATGATATTCCTGCATCATCCTGCCTTGAGAAAGTTGATAAGCCCATGTCAGTCGATGATACAGAAAATCCTTACGAAACATCATCGAGAAAGTGTAAGTTATCTCCCTTTCTCTACGTGTATATGTTTATTTATGTGTTGGCCTTATCTTATATGGCTTAATATCGGAAATTTGTAGTGGCAGATGTTACTGAAGCAAGTAAAAATGAAAATATTTCTATCAACAAGGACAGAGCCCTGAAGTTGATAAGCAAATCATCTGGAGCTGATTTTGAAACTGATCGATTTGTAGATGATATTGCTTTGGTACATCCTCGTGTTGTGTATACGCCACCTGTCTGTGGTGAAGAAAAAAGTGAACCTATGTTTGTTACGGGAGAACCTATGCCCACATATAATAATGGAGTTAACAAAGATCGGTCATTGCCAGTTCAGAATTCTTCTGCAGAAGGGATTCAATTATCATTTAACAATTGTCCCGAATTGCAAGATAATAGTGACGACTTTGATGAGGAGACTAATGAATCCAATCCTTATGGGGTCCATAGTTTTGATAACTACCTTACGGAAACAAGTGAATTTGGTAGCCTTGGCGTTAACAAAGAGCAGTCATTGCCAGCTCAGAATTCTTCTGGAGAAGGAATTCATTTACGAGGTCATAGTGATGATGACTTTGAGGCAACTGATGAATCCAATCCTTATGGGGTTCAGAGTTTTGATAACTACTTCACTCAAAGAAGTGATTTTGGCAGCCTCGAATCTTTGCATGAAATCACTTTCAATGAAATTGAAGGTGAAGATCCAATCGAAAGGCTGAAGCGGCAAAATGAGCATTATAGGAAGTGTGTGAATGACTTATACAAGGAATTGGAGGAAGAAAGAAATGCCTCTGCGATAGCTGCCAATCAGGCTATGGCTATGATTACAAGGTTGCAAGAAGAAAAGTCGGCTCTCCAGATGGAGACCGTGCATTACCTAAGGATGATGGATGAGCAAGCGGATCACGATGGAGATGCCCTGGATAAAGCTAATGATCTTCTGTCAGAAAAGGAAAAAGAAATACAAGATCTAGAATCAGAGCTTGAATTTTACAGATTAAACATAACAGATGAAGCACTGATGGAGATTTTACCCGAGGCAAGCATCAACTTAATCAATAGACAGGCTTCTGTGTATAGTACGACTACATCTTCCGTAAAGGATGATAATCCTATAGCCAAATCTGCATGGTCACAACTTGAAGAAGAGAAGTTGTACATCTATGAACGTCTGCGAGATTTGGAGATGAGAGTTATCAGGTTTGCTCATCACGTGACTTCACCACACTTTTCTGATGGGGAATATTTTGATAAAGCAGCAAACGGAGACCAACATCCGCAAGAGTTCATTGATGAAAAGGATAAACATGCAAATCCTGAGGTTGAAAAAGCTTCATCAGTGTCTAATGGAAGCGTTCCTTCTCAGGAACAGTCAAGTACTTCAATAAGCAAAGATCAAGTGGTTAGTAAGGGAAACAATCATTTTGTTTCCAATGGACTGAAGGGTTCTGAGGATTGCAACGAAAATGATTTGGTCAGTCTTCAAAACGAAATTTCCGACCTTCATGAGAAGTTGGAAGCACTAGTGGCCGACTGTAAATTTCTTGAGGATTGTCTAAAATCTCTTCAAGATGGAAATGAGGGACGGATTTTTATTCAAGGGATACTTCAGGAGTTAAGAGAATTGAGGAAACTTGGGTTAAGGAGTAGGAACATGTCTCTTTCATGAGGTTTATGTGTATCATTACACGGTAAGCATGCTAACGACATAGGACCACTCTAAATTGGTTCTTTTTACTTGGCATATTGGCATTTAAACGTCTCTCTGAAGAAAATAATCTCTTCTTGATGGAGATCCTGCACATCTGTTATAAATTTGCATTCCTCGACTGACTGCTGGTGGAAACTGCTATTATGCTTCTTGATGTTTAACGATGCCTTGTGTTTGTTTTGTTTCATGTAAATTGCTTCCACTTCAAGCTGATATTTTCTTTCCGGTTTCATAAAAACCAATGCTGTAAGGTCATGGATCTACAGATGTGGAATGCGAGTTTTGTAGGATTAAGAAAAGAAAATAGGAAGCAATGAAAATAGGCATTTGAGAGATAACTGGAAGTGTCTGCACAACTGCATCTATTTTACCATTAGTAAGAAAGTCTGGTTTTGCATTATCATGTCCAAATGTGCTTAAGCTGATCATAATATTTGCCATATTTGTTTGTAACTCCATTACCATGCTGTTGAATTCATTAAGCATTTACTCCAATGCTATGTTGTTCCAACTCTATGTTTTTTCTTGAATTACCCCATGTCCGATGTATATCTAGACATCGAAACGTGGATATGACCCTTAAAGCATCTAGGAAACTTGAACACACTCGTATCCAATCTGAGTAACATAGATTTAATGCCTTGCTCTACTTAGTTTATCAAGTTTTATTTCTGTGACATCCTAAAGCTTTAGTCCTTTGCTCATGATTGACTGAATATGACATTAATATTTCAGATGCATCCACATTGAGGATAAAGTGGCCAGCAATGCATGAAGTTTGATTCAAAAGTTGCAGCATTGCAGGATCTCAGCTTACCACGAAATTGTTAAATACACGGATCAGGTTTTATGCACTTGCCACTTATGTTATCCCGACTCTTTATTTCGTTTAAAGTATCCACATTCGATATTTGTGCGACACTTCTTCGAATATGGATGTCGGGGCTTGGACCTCCAATTATATGGGAACAAAAAAAAAACTCTGAAAAGTTGAGCATATCGTGTCGGATATATACTCATATATCTCACTCTCAAGTCCAAGTAACACTGCTAGATGGGAGTAAAACTGTAAAAGTAATTTATTTTTCATTGCTGTGGCAAGGGTTGCATTTGTGGTATATTTTTTGAAGCACTGTGTGACTAGGTTTCAAAAGTGGGTGATTTTTTAGTCTCATTTTACTTCATTTTTTAATAAATATTTATTTATTTTTGAGGTTTGTTCACACTTCATAGTAAGACAATCCTACTTCAACTGTAAATTTAAAACATCTCAATATACATAGATTTTTTTTGAGTCACTTGGTGCTTACCTTCTCTAGCTCAGAGAACTTATTTTATTCAAAGTATTTATGTTTGATATCTATGTTTGATCATCTTTGATCGAAACTATTTTTTAAGGTGAACCCATATGTATTAACAATACAAAACGATTAGGCATAAATAAACTCTCAAAGCGGACTCAATCAGTAAAATATTTAACTAGCGGAAAAAAAAAATAGATTTCAGGGTATGCACTTGTTTACCCCGAGTATAATCTACACCTGCCTCTATGTTTATATTCGAATATAAGTTTGGATTATTTAAATTTATGTAAACCTTAACTTTTAATATATCAAACAACTAATCATATATTTACGTAAATTTAAATATTGAACTTAATAAAATAGTTAATTAGAACGTGACATTGTGATGAACTTGAAAAAAAAAAATTGTAGCCATCAAATCTTAGCATGTCAAACGTATGCAAAATCCTTTTGGTTTGAATGCGTTTTTTTCAACTAAGTTACGTACAAATGGTTCATGCACCTTGCCCCATTATTTCTTTTAAATTAAGGACCCAATTGAATTAGTAGTCAATCGATAGTTTCAAGTTTTAAATAGTTAATATTTTATCCTTTTAATTACTCATTTCTTTAATCTTATTTGTGGACATGTAAGAACCGGGCAAAGCGATGGATTTTGTGATGAGAGTCCACATAAAATAACAATTTTGAGAGCTAAAACTATAACATTATTATTATTATGACTCAAATTGATTTTTTTTCCTAATTCATGAAAGGGGGCCAATTGAAAAGTTTCGTTTAGTGAAGAGGTAAAAGAGATTAAACTAAATTTTAAGTATCTCGTGGGGACTAGAGTTGGTAATTGTATCATTTATTCAAGGGGCACATTACACTCATAGGAAGAGATTTATTTTCAAACGATACTGTTAAGAAAGACGACTTTTACTTCTGAATATTGACCAAAAGAAAAGAATTACTCGAGGGACGAAATTCTAATTGCACCCTTTCTTAAAAGGGTGTTCAGCCGATTAATTTGATTTAATTTTATTACCCAAAATTCATTAACTAAATTTTTTTCTCTAACCGTTAATCAAATATAATTTTTTTCAATTTTTTTAATTGAACTGTACTAAGTTTGGTTAATGGATCGGTTAACTAAATTCGGTTAAGTAACTAATTTCGAATTGAATTAACCGATAATCGAAGTTTAAAAATTTTTTTAATCGTTAATCGGTCAAACCTAAAATTAACTTATCGATTAATCTACTAAAACTTCGATTCAATCGATTAATTCAGTTCTAACTTAATTATGAACACCCCTACTTCTTAATATATAAATAGAAAAAATTACACATTATGATATTCAAAGCCTAAATTTGTATTATTTATGTTATTATTATTATTATTATTATTATTATTATTTAAATAATAGTTAATAAAAAATTAAAAAATATATTATTTAAGAATTGAATACAAGATCCAACGTAGGTTAAACAACTTTTTAAGTTAAATAAATTAGTCAAGAGATAATCATTATATGTTATTTTTAAATAATTTATTTGTGGCGGAAAGTGCTTAATAGCTACCGTACATGGCCGAACGTTGGTTGCCGGAGACAGTGACGGCGGCGGCGGCCGGCATAAAGTCAAAACGAGAATGATGGCTTGGTTAATTAAAAAGATGTAATGCATTGTGACTATGTAAGATGACCAATGGATTTTGTCGGACCTAAACAATATGATGATTATTTTAGGTTTGAGTTATATAAAAAATAATTATGGATATTTATTTATATATTGAAAAAGAAACTTTATAATTATATATAAATCTTGATCTATGTGCATGTGTAGTATGACAAGTGAGCTTTAATTTGATACAAAATTTTAATTTAATTATATACATTTATAAAAGTAAACTATTCCAATCATTTTTCGTATAAAATAAATATAACAATTTATTTATGAAATAAATAAACTTAAAACGATAATATATCAATAAACATAGAAAAAAAATACAATCGCGTTATGATTTTATCAATAAAAAATCATTTAAAAATAATCAAATTTAAAAATATTTTTTTATTAATTCTAATCCAAATATTACTAAAATTATGATTTTTTTAATTAAAACATCATCTTAATTTTTTTTTACATTAATATCCATTTAAGATTATTTTTCAAATTGATATTATTTTGTGACACTAAGATAAAAAAATATTACATTAAACACGTTTTTTAGATATAGGTATTATAAGCCATATTTTCTACCTAATATCATAATGATCACAAAATAAATTAAAAAATCAATTCTAAATTTATCTGCAATAGATGCTAATTTAAAATTTATCTTTAAGATGATGTTTTTTTCAATTAATTTAGAATAAGTATAAAGTAATATATGTTTAAAAATTCTCAATCTCATCTTAATATTAAATGCTTACACTTCTAACATGATTTGCGCATCTTTAAGATAATATTTAGAAAAAATTAAAATCACATTGATACATATGCATAAGAAATATGTGTTTTTATTTTTATTTTTTACATTTTGGGTTTAGTTTATGGATGGTAACGGGTCGGGTTAGAGTTGGTTTTTTGTTCAACCCGACTTGACTTGGTCTAAAAATTTTATATCCTACATACGATCTGATCTTACCTGAAAATATATATTCTCTAAATAACTCCGATCCAATCTTATTTTTTAGAATATAAATCCGACCCAACATAACCCGACTTGGTACAAATTAAGAATTTAATTAAAAATAATAAAATTTTTAAGAAAATTATATTATTATCCTCATGTCGGAGTTTTTTCACCTTCTATCTGAACCCGACTCGATCCAAAGTCGTCCCTTAAAATTTTGACTAGATCCGAAGCTGGATTTTTTTAAGAGAAAATCGCCTCAGTGACCAAAAAAAAGTTATAATATACGATTTTAACCAACTTTTTTTGGATTTGCCAAAATGACCAACAAAATCGCAACGCGAAATAAAAATCGCAACGCGATCCCCAGAATCGCAAATCAGTTTCCAGAATCGCAAATCAGTTTCCAAAATCGCAACGCGATTCTTGAAAATCGCGATGCGATAGTACAAATTCGCATTGCGATTTTCCATAATCGCAACGCGAATATGAAAATCGCAACGCGAACACATAAATCGCAACGCGTATCCGTAAATCGCAACGTGTATCCGTAAATCGCAACGCGTATGGGTAAATCGCAATGCGTATCCGTATATCGCAACGCGTATCCGTAAATCGCAACGATAATACATAAAATCGCAACGCGTATCCGTAAATCGCAACGCGATATTTAAAGCGCCATTATAATCGCTACGCGTATTTTATTTTCAAATTACAAAAAGAATATTAAGACAAAATCCCGTAATCGCAACTCATAACCTAAAACCTAAAATCACAACTCAGTCCCATCTCCATCTCTCACTCTCTACGGCGAAGAAATCCGTCCCCATCTCCGAAGATTTCCGTCCCCATCTCCGGCGAAATCCCTCACAACCATTCACGGTCAGAAATCCCTCACAATATTCAGAAATGGAAAATCAACCTCCGAGGGTTAGTTTTTTTAATTATTTTTATTTTGAAATGTTTGCATTATTGTAGGTTTTTCATATTGAAACTGATGATAAGTTTACTGGTCATTTCAATAATAGATTAACCATTTCACTTAGATTTCATTTCGCGTTACGATTCTGTCGTTGCGATTTTCATTTCGCGTTGCTATTCTCTCGTTGCGATTTTCAAGTTAGTATTTGTCTTTGTCTTTGTTCTGTCTTTTGGTTGAAGTAATGCAATCCATTCAAGTTTCAATTTGCAGAAGAGTCGCAACGAGATAAATGAAAATCGCAACGAGAGAATGACTGTCGCAACGAGAGAATCGCAACGCGAAATGAAAATCGCAACGAGAGAATCGCAACGCGAAACCAAAATCGCATTGCGATTTTCATTTCGCGTTGCGATTCTCTCGTTGCGATTTTAATTTCGCGTTGCGATTCTCTCGTTGCGATTGTCATCTCGCGTTGCGATTCTCTCGTTGCGATTTTCATTTCAACCAAAAGACAAAACAGTGTTGCAAATTTTAGTTTCAAGAATAAACTACTACTTTTTATGTTTATTGTTTTTGGTATATCTTCACAGTGTAGTTTTTGGTATATCTAACTTGGTATGTTTATTGTTTTTGTAGAAATTTTTTTCGGCTCAATTGACCTTGAGAAATAAAGTCAGCCTGGCCACTACAATTGCAAAGAAGCTTTCACCTGCTCAAAGACAATTGTTTGAGGAAACCTGCTTCGGGCCATGGCTGAGAGTACAGCATCCGGGTGGAGATGCTAATTTGACCCATTTGTGGCTTCAGACCATGACATCAAATCTACCCGACAGTATACAACGTGGTGAGGAAGAGATATGGTTTCATTTTCCACCAGCGTATACTTGCTTTGGGCGGAAGGAGTTCTGCTTAATCACTGGTCTACGATTCGGACACGATGATGTAGGCCGGTACACTCGTCATATCGCCCGCCCATCATGGTTATCCCGGGTTTTTCCGGATGAGTCAATGGAGAAGCCGAACCTACATGTCGACGACCTGAAGAAATTATTTAATAAGAAAGCTGGTTTCACTCGGATGGAAGACGTCGATGTTGTCCGAGTATGCCTTCTACTACTTGTGTATGCCGGCTTTTTAGGTAGAGAGGCCAGACAACCTATTCATCGGGAGCTAATAATATTGGTAGAGGACCTGAATGCATGGAATCTGTTTCCGTGGGGTTCGTATATATGGAAAGCTACCTGGACTAAGTTGTCGTCTGCCTTTGATGACCGCAAAAGTTTGCGGGGCGATGGGTCCAAATACACTTTGTCAGGCTTTGTTTGGGCCTTTAAGGTAAGAATTTCTATATAATGTTTCTAAAATTATAATTAATTATTTAACAATTACTAATTTTGTTATTATATTGTTTGTAGATTTGGATATTCGAGGCTTTCCCCAGCATGCGTACATATGCAATAAAAACGTCAAATGATATTCCCAGGGCTATTTCCTGGAAGAGGAAAACTCTGTTGGATTGGGAAGACTTAATACCATATGCCACAATAAATAATGTAAGTTAACACAAATACTTTCATATAATATATAAACAAGTTATTAATAGTAGACGTTTAACATTGTTTGAGTTTTTATATTTTAGGAGGCCAACATTCCATTACAAAGACTGACACCCACGGAGGAAGAGCTTGCCACTGATTGGTGGCAAGCTAGTCAGAATTTTTTTGATGGCACGGATGATGAGCAGCATCCACTTCCTCCAATTCGAGAGCCATCACCTCACCTAGAGCCATCACCCGATCGACCCGACTATACATCTCTAGAACGAGAGCCATCACCTATCCCGTCACATCATCGAGCCTCTTCTCCACCATCACCTCATGATAGGCGACCGGCAAAGATGCCACGACTCCTATCTCCCTGTTCTCCACCTCCACCTCAACGGGATGAGTCAAGGGAGTTACGTGATGAGGTCAATGCCTTGCGTGAGGAGATCGGTACTCTACGCGATAACGATGGTGCATGGCGTGTGGAGGTGTCAACTTTACGTGGTGAGGTTGCCGCTCTACGTGAGATGATAGTATCGTTGCAGAATGAGGTTCATACTCTACGCAACGAGGTAAGTTTAAGATTTTCCATATTTAACTTAATGATAAATTTACTCGTAATTTCACTTAGATTAGCCATTTCACTTAGATTGCTTAGTAAATTTATTCGGTTGCTGCCAATTCTGCTAAACTGTGTATTCTTTAACACTGTGAAATAGTATTTGTCTTTGTTTTGTCTTTTGGTTGAAAGTAAATTTGTTCGGTTGCTGCCAATTCTGCTAAACTGTATATTCTTTAACACTGTGAAATATATTTGTCTTTGTTTTGTCTTTTGGTTGAAAGTAAATTTGTTCGGTTGCTGCCAATTCTGCTAAACTGTGTATTCTTTAACACTGTGAAATATATTTGTCTTTGTTTTGTCTTTTGGTTGAAAGTAAATTTGTTCGGTTGCTGCCAATTCTGCTAAACTGTATATTCTTTAACACTGTGAAATATATTTGTCTTTGTTTTGTCTTTTGGTTGAAAGTAAATTTGTTCGGTTGCTGCCAATTCTGCTAAACTGTGTATTCTTTAACACTGTGAAATAGTATTTGTCTTTGTTTTGTCTTTTGGTTGAAAGTAAATTTGTTCGGTTGCTGCCAATTCTGCTAAACTGTGTATTCTTTAACACTGTGAAATATATTTGTCTTTGTTTTGTCTTTGTTTGACGACGGGAAGCATCAAGTATCTACCTCCCACCGATAGAGATAAAGCTGCAGTAGGCTTGTGGTTTCGGCATTATATGGCTAAATCGATATATACGAGACGCTGCCTACCTGCATCCGCGTTATAAAAATGTCCATAAACAATTGGTAAGTTTATATACTTATAAATGAAAATGTTTGGTTAATTAACTAGAATTCAATAATTTGCGTAGAAAGTGTTGTTTGAACAAATGTTTGGTTTCTGCAGGTTAATCTCAGAAGTGAACTGCGTGAAAATGATGTCGAGCTGCAAAAGTTGATTCAATAGTTTAATTGATTGTTTTTTGATTGTTTAATTGATTTGTAAAAGTTGATTCAATAGTAGATGATCGGAAATAAGAATTATTGCTTATTTTTTGATTGTTTAATTGATTTGTAAAAGATGATTTGTAAAAGTTGATTTGTGTAATTGATGCGAACATAATTCTTATTTGTGCTTGTTTAATTGATTGAAATGTAATGGTTGATTTTGTTGATTTCAATCTGCATTATGTTGAAGGCAAAAATGACTATCGCAATGCGAAATGAAAATCGCAATGCGAAATGAAAATCGCAACGAGAGAATCGCAATGCGAAATGAAAATCGCAATGCGGAAATGAAAATCGCAATGCGTTTATAATTTCGCATTGCGATTATCTCGTTGCGATTTTCATTTCGCATTGCGATTTTCATTTCGCATTGCGATTCTTTCGTTGCGATTTTCATTTCGCATTGCGATTTTCATTTCGCATTGCGATTTTCATTTCGCATTGCGATTTTCATTTCGCATTGCGATTTTCATTTCGCATTGCGATTTTAATTTCGCATTGCGATTCTGTCGTTGCGATTTTCATTTCGCATTGCGATTTTCATTTCGCATTGCGATTCTCTCGTTGCGATTTTCATTTCCGCATTGCGATTTTCATGTTGGGATTTTCATTTCGCGTTGCGATTGTATTTTCCGTGTTGCGATAGTCAAATGCATGCCTAATAGTGATAACAACTGAATAACAAGAGTTGGTTAAGTCAAAATGGTTGGCCTGAGTCATTAATTCAACTGAAAATGTTAAAAGTTCACACATAAAATCCACATAATACAACGTTTGCATTTAAAAATCACCTAAGTTAACAGTCTCAAAAGGTGAAGCCAATCGTGATTGGGATTTTAAAGATGATTGCCTTTTGCTTGACACCATATGAGCTTTGGATTTTGATGAGGATCCATATTTTGGTAGAGGAAAAGATGATTTTGATGGCACTGGTGATCCACATGTCAACCTTGTATGACCACTTTCCTTGCACCGACTACATGTCGATCTCTTCTTCTCTTCACCCTTAGACGGTATACGATCGTGACTTTTTGGTCGGCCAGGTAGCCTTCTGTCCATGGCTGGTGGCAAAACTGTTTGTAAGTCATCTGGTATGTCCCACTCAGAAGGATGTGGAATAGGGTAGACAATCTCGGCATAAGTCTGTCGATAAACTTCTGTAGTGTAGCAATCCATAGCGTATGCGCTTGAATCATCTTGGTTTAAATGAAGAGCAACTTTTATAACATGGCCACACGGATAACCAGATGTTTGCCATTTCATACAACTACACGTCTTTGCATTTAGATCGACTAGCCCATTTAAGTTATTATCCAGTACTTGAAACAAAGTGTTTGAACATGGTTCAACTCTCCATGACGTTGACTTCACAACACGTTTCGTTATCTTTTTTTCAGTCCATGGTGTAACACGATGTTCCAGTTATACGCCCGTGGCATTTTCTTTTCTTCGGGGACTTTTTCTTCTTCTTTTTCTTCTTCAGGATTATATGAATTACAGAATGGATGTTCAACATGTTCATTCACAGTCGTAACTTCCTCCTCATTATCATCAACATTACATTCTTCGGCAACGGCTGTTTCATCATCAAAATTCGGGTATTGACCAATATCAATATCATTACACGCATGGTCTGTTTCTTCTTCTGAAACATCATCAAAATCCGTGTATTGACCAATATCAAAGTCCGGATATTGACCAAGACCAAATTTCGAATACTGACTAGTACTCACAATTTTTTCTGTTGGCTCATCATCGTCTAACTGGTCAATACGAAAACCGGAATTTGGTGCTGAAAGTTGATTGGGATTTGGATTAGAGAAAGGTTGTGGGTTTTGAGAAAAACTTAGTTGATTACTACCCGCTACTGACCCAACAATACTACTTCTAGGTTCAACAACATACAATGTAACATCATCTTGTGAAACACTAATGTAAGCAATGAATCGTTCAACATCTTCATTGTCGGTTAACAAATAAACTTTACCATTTCTCTGATAAGATAGCCTAAATCCACTTAGGGGCTCTAAATTCAATTTATTTGAAACACGTAGCATTAGAGTTTCATAAGTTAACTTTTGTAAAGACAATTTAGTTGAAGATTCATGGGTAAAGGCATATATTGTAAAACACCATGAACATTATCCCATGACCCTCCAAAACACAAATCTATCCAAACATGATCAACATTAGATGATTTCATGGTTGTAAATTAATTTACTAAACAGACGAGCTGCGAAACTAAAACCTGTTGCCGGATTGGGAAGGATGTCGTTGGATATAGGAACGGATGTCGCCGGAGAGAGTGATAGATGGAGATGGAATGAGTTGCGATTTAGGGATTTAGTTTATGATTTCAGTGTTATATACCCAAAATTTAAGTGTTGTGATTTACAGATTCTCGTTGCGATTTACGGATTATCGTTGCGATTTACAGATTCTCGTTGCGATTTACGGATTATCGTTGCGATTTACGGATACGCGTTGCGATTTACGGATTATCGTTGCGATTTACGGATACGCGTTGCGATTTACGGATACGCATTGCGATTTACGGATACGCGTTGCGATTTACGGATACACGTTGCAGTTTACGGATACGCGTTGCGATTTACGGATACGCGTTGCGATATACGGATACGCATTGCGATTTACCCATACGCGTTGCGATTTACGGATACACGTTGCGATTTACGGATACGCGTTGCGATTTATGTGTTCGCGTTGCGATTTTCATATTCGCGTTGCGATTATGAAAAATCGCAATGCGAATTTGTACTATCGCATCGCGATTTTCAAGAATCGCGTTGCGATTTTGGAAACTGATTTGCGATTCTGGGGATCGCGTTGCGATTTTTATTTCGCATTGCGATTTTGTTGGTCATTTTGGCAAATCCAAAAAAAGTTGGTTAAAATCGTATATTATAACTTTTTTTTGGTCACTGAGGCAATTCTCTCTTTTTTTAAATCCAACCCGATCGAATTGAATTGGATTTAACCCGTGATGGGGGTTAAATTGTCATCCCTAGTTTAACCCCCACTGCCGTACGTCATTTATGGTTATTAATTGTTTTGTTTTCTTAAAGAAATCCTTCTAACCATGGTTTTAATTATGTGTGTTTTTTATTAGGGATTTTGGTATATATAAAGCGTTTGGTTCTTCAAAGTTCAAACATTTACAGACATGACAACCTCAACGAAGGAGTCTTGTTTTCTTCAATATTATTCAAGCTCACCGTTTGGATCGTCTCTGCAGTCGCAGTGGCCGGAGAATTTTTCCGGTGGCTGGGATGAACTTCTTCTCAACTTCAATGACTTTGAAGAAATGGTTTGGGTGGATATGACGGCGGCCTCAGATCAGTCCAAGAACTCCATTAACGGCGTAAAGAAAGATAATCCAACATCGGATACTGGTAAACACGGAGAATCATCGAAGAAAAAGAAAGCTTATATAGGTGTAAGGAAGCGGCCGTGGGGGAAATTCGCTGCCGAGATCAGAGATTCGACGAGAAACGGAGTTAGGGTTTGGCTCGGAACATTCGACAGTGCTGAAGCAGCCGCTCTAGCTTACGACCAGGCCGCGCTTTCGACAAGAGGTTCATCTGCGACGCTCAATTTTCCGATCGACATCGTCAGGGAATCTCTTTGGGACGTCATGCGCCGATGCGACGACGGTTGCTCGCCGTTGGTGGTGCTGAAGAAGAGACACAGCTTGAGGACAAGATCCAAGAATAAGAAGAAGATCGTCGGCAAAATAAACGAGGTTTCAAGGGAGACAAGACAACGACAAAACTTGGTTGTGTTGGAAGATCTAGGAACTGATTACTTGGAACAGCTTCTAAGTTGTTCATGTTGAAATTCCAAGAATTTGAAAAACGATATGAATGTTATAATGAATAAATTTTAAAATTACTGATAAATTTTGATTCCAAAAGTTATGGCCGTGTTACAAAAAAAATCAATTGCTCTCTATTTTAAGGTGTTGTTCTGATTAATCTGGATCGATTTGAGTCGTACATTTGATTTCGGTGAATAAATATTTTGATGAATTTTTTTTTACATACATAAGAATTTGAATATCAGATTTTACTCAGACGGTATCAAACTACATTAATTAAATTTTAATGCAATTCATACTTTTGCAATATAAAAACAATAATTAGAATCTTTTATTGATGTTACATATGATTAGGATTCAAACCTTGTCGATGTAATCCTCCTTTCTACTTGCATTAGTTAAATCATTTTAAGTAAAATATAACGGAGATCATTAAATTATATTTAAAATATTGTTTGTCTTTAAGCATTTAAAATGTATAAATTATTTAATTTTTAACATTTTAAGATAATTATAAAATAATATCCATTCAAAAAAATTTAATCACTGATAACATGCACACACACAAAAATGCGACTACTTGAATCTAAGATCTTTACGAAAAATATTATTCCTTTAAATGCTAAAACAACTTGATAAATTCAATAATAAATTATTTATTAAATTATTATAAAATATTTTAATTTTTAAAAATAATTATTAAATTTTATTAAACTATTACATAATCATATTCATTAAAATTTATTAAAAGTTTAGGATTATTAAATCTTAAAGAAGCAAATGGTTGACCACGAAGTATGTGTTATTCTCATAGATGAGGATTAAATTTGAGAAACTCTCTCAATCCTAAAAAAACACCTTTTTATATTTAATTTTGTAAGCTTTAAGAGATTGTAAGAATTTTTCAATCGTAGAATATTTTTTTAATTTTGACATCAACATCAAACTATGTTATTAATTAACGTATCAATATTTACAATAAAACTAAAATTAAAGTTTAATTAAAATTGGAATTATTAAGTGATCTCAATGGTAAATGACACAAAATTTTATGTTAGAGTCAACTTGAATTTTAAGAATTTCAAGGACGAAAATATATTGAATTATAAAAAATTCAAAATCTATGACAATTTTAAATTTTCAAGAGAATTATCCTTAACTCATCTGTTCATATATAATGTTCTCCCTAAAAGATTTAAGTTTGAGCAGGTTTACTTGGTCTATAAATTAAGAGAGTTTTAAACAAATATTATCTTATAATCACCTCAAATTATTAGAAAATATTAATATTAACGTTAAAACATTTTAGATTTATATTAAAATTAATATAAACACTAAAATTTGGAGTAGTTTATCATAGAAAAAGGAACTTTACAGAGAAAAGGGAAGGATACAATCCAACAGAAATTGACCAAAATCCAAAACCAGGAAGGCTAAGAAAAAGGAGGCAAAACCCTAATCCTCGCTGCATATATATATATATATACACACACACACACACACATAACAGTTACTGTGTAATTCTGATTTTAACCCCGGCCGCCGTACGTCATCTCTGGATCTCCGGTTAATTGAATATTTCATCCACGGTTTTTTTTAGACATTTTGTTCATTGGTTCCTGTATTATTATGAAGCGTTTGGTACTTGAAAGTGCAAACCTTGTTGGATCGAATCATAGGTTATATTATCAATATCTGTTCCAAAATTTACAACAGAACAACCTCAATGAACAAGTCTTGTCTCTTTCAACATTATTCAAAGTCTACTGTTCCCGACATCTCGCCTGAATCATCGTTGGGATCGCCGCCGCCGGAGACATTTTCCGGTTCCTTGGAGGAGCTTCTTCGCAACTTCAGTGACTGAAAAAATGGTTTCTGTGAATATGGCGGCGGCGGCGGCCTCGGATCAGTCTAAAAACTCCATTAACGGCCCAAGGGAACACAATGTTGGATCGGGTGTTGCTAAACATGAAGAATTACCCCAGAAGGGAAAATTTTATATAGGTGTAAGGAAGCGGCCATGGGGAAAATACGCGGCTGAGATTAGGGATTCAACCAGACATGGTCTTAGGGTTTGGCTTGGAACATCGACACTGCCGAAAAAGCCGCTTTAGCCTACGATCAGGCCGCGCTTTCGACAAGAGGATCGTCGGCAACGTTCAATTTCCCGATCGACGTCGTCACGGAGTCGCTCCGTGATATCAAATACCGATGCGACGATGGTTGCTCGCCAATAGAGGCGCTGAAGAAGAGGCTCAGCTTGAAGACAAGATCTGAGAACACGAGGACCAGCAGCGAACGAAACAAGGTACGAGAACAAAAGAACTTGGTCGTGTTGGAAGATTTAGGAACTGATTACTTGGAACAACTTCTAACTTGTTCATGCTGAAACTTACTTGGGAAATTGAACACTAAATAAGCATAAAAGAGATCTAAGAATTTTTAATTTTTTCAAAATTATATTTAACGTTTAGTTTTTGTTTCATTTTAGTACCCATTAAACGTTAAATTTTGATTTTTTTAAAGTTTAATTACTAAAATAGACTAAAATTGATAGTTTAAATACTAAGCACGTAATTTATCCTAGAAATAATAATGAATCCATAAATATTTTTGAGGGATAACAAATATATTAATAATATAAAACTTTTGTTTGTAGGTGGGCACAAATAAAATCTAAGAATAGATAAAATTAATAAAATAAACAACTAACATAAAAAAATTCGGATTTCAAAATACACCAGCATACTTACATATGTCACTGTCCAGAAAATTAAATACATGACAAGTGTAACTGAGATGATACAAATATGATAGTCAACCAAGTTATTCAATGTGCTTAACCACATAGCATCGATGAGTGTATATAAAATCAATTGTAAGTAACTTACATGTAGAAATACTTTCAAAATAATACCTTCAGAAATACATGTTTGAGCGGATATTATTCATCAAATTTTTTGTGTTACATTGTTTCTGAAAACATAATTACTAAAATAAACATCTTGAAACTTCAAAAATTTTGTTATTTCAAATATAGGTCTTTAAAGAAACTCGTCCTCATGCTGCAAAAGTTTGATCTTAGATTCTTGAAGTGTATTTTTTTTGGGTATTGCCGTGTAAAAAAAGAAATCATTATCATTATCCAAACCTTGATAAATATTTGTGTTTATTGATGTTATCTTTTTAGAACCAACACCATTTTCTTCTGTTTTAGGTTATGTGAGTCACGAGAGGATGATTTCCTAGTGTAGTGTACCATGTCATGTCAAGTTTTGGCCTGCCACCCTGAGACCCTCTATATTAAATAATTCTCCTATCAAATATATAAACTCTCATCATCTATAACTACTTAGTTTTGACCTGATTATCAAGACTCTTAAACCCTGTAAAAAAATGGGCGTTCTTCTAGTAGTAAAGGAATAGCTAAATAAAAATCTTCCAATATAGGTAAAACTTATAATTTTTGTAAAAATATAGTTAACTAATATAAAGAGAGGGTGTGAAGAAAGTTCATGGAGAGATTTGGCATTGCGAATATTGCAAAAGATGTTGAGTACGAACTTCTAGAAATATCTGACGACAACGTGAAGGCAAGAAAGGAGTGGATCCTCGACTCCAGGTGCACCTATCACATGTGTCTCAATTGTGATTAGTTTGTGACCTATGAAGTATTATATTGAAGAGTAATAATGCATCTTGTACGATTACAAGAATGGGTAGTGTTAAAGTTAAGATGCATGATGACATTTTCAGAACTCTAAGTGATGTTCGTCACGTTCCAAAATTAAAGCGTAATATGATCTAGCTAAGTACCCACGATATAAAAGGGTATAAGTATTCCGCTGAAGGTGGAGTTTTGAATGTTAACAAGGGTTCGCTTAAAGGTTGTATGTTCTCCAAGGCTTTATGATTATTGTTGATGTAGCTATTGCATCAATCACACTGTCAGAGGAAGATGTAACCAAACTTTGGCATATATATTTGAGGCGTGAATTCACAACAGGTGTTTGGAAAACAGATGAGAGTCTGCTTTACTTAAGAATTCATAACACAAAGGTACGTTAAACTACGTTCATGGGAATCTATAGGCAGCGTCTAGAATATCCTCTCATGGAGACGTGAACTATATACCGACAATCATTGATGACTACTCCAGAAAGGTTTGGTTGTTTTTCCTGAGGAAGAAGAGCGATGTGATGGCAATTTTTAAGAATTGAAAGGCAATGATCAAGAAATAGACTGAATGACATATCAAACACCTTCACATTGATAATGGTTTAGAATTATGTTTTGACAAATTTATTAAGATATGTAAGAAAAAAAAGGGTTGTGAGTCACCTAACGGTCCGTCATACACCACAACAAAATGGTATCGTTGAACGGATGAATAAAATAATAATAGAAAGAGTTCATTGTATGCTCGTTAATATTGGTATATCAAAGTCATTATGGGTTGAAGCGGCTTCGCTAGCGTGTTTCTGATTAGCATGCCTTCATCTATAGTCATTGACAAAAAGACTTCACAAGAGGTATGATCTAGCAAGCTTGTGGACTATTCTGAGTTATAGATATTTGTTTGTCCTGTGTATGCTCATGTAAATAATGGTAAATTAGAGTCTAGGGAGTCAAACGATATAAGTTGTGGTGTCTTGAAACTATAAAAATAGTTATTAGCAAAGATGTGATAGTTGATGACTCTGCTATGTTGCAAGGATAACCCCTTAGGGAAACAACCAAGGATTTGTAGGAACCATAGTCCACACAAAAGAATGTAGGGTTTCATTTTGAAACAAGGTCTTCATCTTACATTTTCGTAGATAATAGAAATAATTTGCAACAGTTTGATCCACTGTCATCTATTACATGAAATAGACCCAGAAGAAGAATTAAACACCTACAGAGTACCTGAAGCCTGATATAGTAGCGTACGCTCTAATTGTTGCCTAAGATATTGATGTGAACCAAGAGTCATCATCCTATTTAGAGGTAGTTAGCTACGAAAACTCATGCAAGTGGATGATCACAATGCGGGAGAAAATAAAGTCACTCCACATGAATGCCACTTGGAATTTAGTGAAACTTTCTAGCGGAAATTAAGCCATTCACTATAAATGAGTGTACAAAAAGAAGGAAAGAATTCTAGAAGTTGAAGAGTCAGATACAAAGTAAGGTTGATTGCAAAAGAGTTCAACCAAAATCCTAGGAATTGGCTTTAATAATGTGTTCTCTCTAGTGAAAAAAAAACATAGTTGAACAGCTAGAGGTGAAAACGATGTTCTTGCATGGTAAACTAGAAGAAGATACTTACATGTAGCAACATGAGGGTTTCATGATCTTAGGAAATGAGGACCATGTTTGTTCGTTGAAGAAATTTCTTTATATACTTAAGCAGTCGTTGAGACAATGGTATAAGAGGTTGGATTCTTTAATGGTTTCTCTTAACTTTAAGCGAAGTAATTTTGATATTTTTGTTTACTTCAAAAAGGGTTGCGATAGTTTTTCCATATATATGCTTTTTTATTTCAATGATATGATGATAGATACAAACATTAAAGAAGATATTGGGCAAATGAAGATTCAATTTAATAATGCATTTGAGATGAAAAATCTGGATCATACAAATAAGATACTCGAAATGAAGATTAAAAGAGATAAAAAAAAGCATGTAAATTGTATCTAAGTTAAAAGGGGTACATTAAAAAGGTTCTTTTTAGGTCTAATATGTAAAGTGTGAACCCTGTGAGCACTTCATAACATGAAGTATTGTACATGTCGCGTGTTCCATATTCTAGTGTAGAGAGATATCTAATGTATAATATGATTTATACGCTTCTAGATTTAGCGTACGCAATTAGTTTAATGAGTAGATATATAGGGAATCTTGGTAAAGAACATTAAAAAGTTTTCCAATAAATTTTCAGGTATCTTTACGTACTAATGATGTTTACTTGTAGTTCGGGGAACTAGAGATAAGGTAGTGGGGTACGTAGATTCTGATTTTGTGAGAGATCTTGATAAGAGGAGATCACTTATAGGGTATGTCTTCACAGTTGAAGGATGTGTCATTAGTTGGAAAACTACTTTGCAGAGTATGATTACTTTGTTAACTATTGAAGCGAAAGACATGGCGACCATTGAAGCTTGTAAGGAAACAATTTGATTGAAGCTCTTTGGTATACATAGTGAAGACCTCAAATCAGTACAATATTATATGACAGTCAAAATGTTATATTCATAATCAGTAAACATATGGGGACAATCGCCCCCTAAAAATTTAAAATCATCTTATAATTTAGATTTTTTATGTATTTTTTATTAAAAATATATTTTCGTCACCTTGAAATTTATAAGTTCACCTCTCACTAAAATTTTAGAAGTTTACCTCCTAACATAAAATCTTGAGTCAGTCCCTGTGTATAGGGATGGGTATGGGTCAAGTCGGGTTGGGTTTTTGACCTACTCAAACCTAACCCAAAAATTAAACTCCTTCACTTGCACTCACACCCGATTCGAAACCTAAACCGACCTAACTATATATAATTATTTTATTAGATAAAATAAGGACTTAATTAAAACAAAATAACATATTATAATTATTCTTAAATATATAAGAGATAATTATAAAACTGTCACAAGTCAAGTTTTTCATCATAAATTCAAACTCGATCCAATCTTATTGAAGAAAAATCAACTCAGATTTTTAAAATAAAAAACTAATTTGATTAGGTCAAACTCGTCTAGTCCAAATAAAATCTCTATTCCTATACTTGTACTTGTGCCTGTACAAATAGTACAAATACGTGTATTTCTAAAAGAAAACATGTATAATGTATGCATTTTTTTGGGGGGGAAAATCATGTTTTTCAAGTTTTTAACTTTTTCCCCCTTTCTTTGTTATTTACATTCTTTCTTCCCATTCCATGTCTAGGTGATATTACAGTGAAAAAACATTATCAAAGGGTACCGAGCAGTAATGGGAAGAAAGAATGTAATTAACCATAACTTGAAAACAATTAGAAATGGACATATAAATACTATACATGTGTGTATACGTGGAAGCATGCAATAAGAAAAACCAAGAGATGAAGAAAGAGTGCATATAAACTACTTGAAAGAAGAAGAAAAATATTTATAAAAAGAGAAGAAAACCTGGAACCAGATGAGCACTCAAACAGCTTCCCTTTGTTAGAGACAACGATCAAAGCAACCTCGGCATTTCCTTTGACAAACCAGTTCTTGTCTGCTAATAACACTGTTGTTCTCTTTGGGAAAATCCCTCAGACCCATTTGTCCCTGAATCTCACTTGTTTGGTACTGTGTGTGCATTAGGGTTTTACCTGGCCGCCGTGCGTCATCTCTGATTCTCGTGTCAATAGCCTTTTTTTAGAGGGGAAAAAAAACACTTTTTTCCCACTTTCTTTGGATAATGTTTTTCTCATTATTTTAATCTATTTCCCCCCCCCCCCATTATTATGTTCATTAATCCTGGTATTTTCAACCGTTGTTGGAATCAAAGCTCAATCTGTCAATATCAGTTGTCGGTTTGAAAATATATTCGTTTTAAACAAAAGGGTAAACTACAAATTTGATAACTGAATTTTACTCTCTTTCCTATTCCACTCACTGTACTTTAAATCTTTTAATTTCTTCATTAAACTTAATACATTGGGGTTTTTTGGTCACTTAGTCTTTAAATAGTTAACGAAGTTAAAATGAGATGTTATATAGATACAAAATAATGTCGTTTTGGTGAAAATTTTATTTTTTTAAAACGGTATCATTTTTATCGCCGTTAACTATTTAACAGCGGAGTAACCAAAATAAAAGAGAAAGTAAAGTTCAATGAAAAAAATCTAATGTATTAAGTTCTGGGGAAATTAGAAACTTTAAAAAAAACTCAAAGTCATGAATTGAGTCAGATTCCATGAAAGTGATTTAAATGAAAAAATTATTATTTACGGGGAGTTTGAATGCAATTTTATTATTTATGATTTTGTATTTTTATTATAATTTTTTATTGAAAACTTATTAAATAATATTCCTATAATTTCTTATAATATTAAATAATAATTTTAATAATATATTAAATTTTTTTGTGTGCATTTTTCACTTACATAATTTTTCATGTATAATATATGCCTTTTATTATTATATAAAAATGGTTGTCCCTTTTTCCCATATGTATAGGATAAGGGGGAGGTAAGATAGTAGATTGCCCCAACATCAAGTTGAGAGCAGTTTCCGTAAGAGACCACACAAAAGCTGGTGAGGAAAAAACCACACATATTGACCAAAATTGGAAACCAGAGTGATTAGGGAAAAGGAGACAAAACCCTAATAAATTATCTTGCTCGATATATAAAATACATATTTGGGTTTTAAACCCAGCCGCCGTACGTCATATTGTGTTAATTGCTTTCCAACCCTTTTCCTTGTTTATTTTATTCTATGTTTTTAGACATTTTGTTAAAATAATTTGTGTCAATATTATTTTTTTGTTAAAATCAGTGGCATCATCATCATCAATTAGTTTAATAGGCATAATTATAATAATATTTACCCATAATGTTTTAAATAAACATAATATAATTTTTTTTTTCTGGATTTGGAACTCTGATTTGGAACATTTATTGAGCGTTTGCACTTTAGGTTCAAACGTTGTTGGATCCAACCCTAGGTTACCAAAAAACAGAACAACCTCAATAGACAAGTATTGTTTCTTTCAACATTATTCAAAGGACAACTATGCCTGAACCATCATTTGGATCCCCGTCATTGTCGCCGTCCCCGGCGACATTTTCCGGTTGCTGGGATGAGCTTCTTCTCAACTTCAAGAACTCCATTAACGGCGTAAACGAAGATAACTTTAGATCGGGTGTTGCTAAACATGAAGAATCACCCAAGAAAGAAAAAGCTTACATAGGTGTAAGGAAGCGGCCATGGGGGAAATACGCTGCGGAGATTCGGGATTCAACGAGACATGGCCTTAGGGTTTGGCTCGGAACATTCGACACAGCCGAAGAGGCCGCTCTAGCTTACGACCAAGCAGCATTTTCGACGAGGGGATCGTCGACGACCCTCAATTTCCCGATCCACGTCGTCACAGAATCGCTTCGTAACATAAAATACCGATGCGACGACGGGTGCTCGCCGGTAGAGGCGCTGAAGAAGAGACAACACCGCCCTAGTACAAGATCCAAGAACAAAGAAATCATTAGCAAACAAAACGAGACACAAGGAGAGAACTTGATTGTGTTGGAAGATCTGGGAACTGATTACTTGGAACAACTTCTAAGTTGTTCATGTTTAAACTGACTCAGGTTCTTTTGTTTATATGTATATTCATTTGTTTTCAATTTCAGTTCCGTTCTTTGTTCCATAGCTAAATGCATCTTTCTTCTGAATTATGTTTTCTCATTTGATATTATGAATAAAAACACTATTATTATTATGGATTACAGATTCATTTAGGGTTTATAAAAGTGCTAGGGTTATCTTATTTTAGCTCTCTTTTTCAAATTAGGGATTTCTCTCATATCCCTAATTGTCCTCCATCTTTCTTAATTGAGATAAAATAGAAACACTGCTGTTGCTTCTTTAGGTTTTATTTTTTGCAATAAAGTGATGAGATCTGTGCAGTTGTATTGTAACAACCTCTTCCACAACTAAGGAATTGCACATTTTCGTAGTTAACGGCGGACAATCTCTTACTTTCAGGTCTGATTTTTCTTTTTGCTCAACATGCTTTATTATTGAATATTATGCTTATGTTGAATTTAATTTCTTTGTATTCCAACATCTCTATCATCATGTAACTAATACTAGTTATCCCTGTTATACCAACCCTTAGTACACCTCCGGCGGGCTCAAAGGATCCACGGAAACCTACACCGGGCCACCACTTGGCACCCCTGACCTTTTGACCACGAATTAGGATTGTAGCCTGTTGTATCTCCTTCTGATCTCTCTGCAAGGCACACTTTCATCGTTGTTTCTTGTCCTATCAAACCTCAAAATCTATAGAAGCAATCGTCTCTTGATATGCACAACATATAATCTACTAGCTATATATATTATGTGACCGTCAAATTTATTTGTCGTGTCAATCTATAGATAGTCATTACCACTCTTTGTCAGACACCAGCATATGAATCACAGAAGACTAGAGAAGGAGACTCTCTCAAACTCTTTATTGTTCATCATCTTTTTTAGTTTTTATGTTTTCTCTTTTCCTTATATAAAACAATCATGTGTGACTCTTTACTCAAATCAAAAGAGTGAATCATTATAAATTAACTATCACATCCACACTCCTATTTCTCCCATCAACATAGTCCTCGTAAATCTTTCTTCTGCCTAAACAAAATGATTTTGTATATTTAGTCACCCTTTTAACCAAATAGGATGTATGATAATGAACTTATAAAACATACCTAAGTTAGATTTTGTATAGACCTTGTTTCTGATTATTTGTCAATCTAATGATGTCATGTGGCACTAGATATTCAAAATTTATGAGAAGACTCAATCAGAAACAAATTAAAAAGAAACATCATTATATTGTGAAACAAGACTCAATCAAAAGAGATTAATTAGATCGACATATAATCAGAAACAATACTCAATCTAATGAAAGGGGATAGAAAACAATTAATCTCTCAAGCTCTCCTCATATTCTCTCTCTCTTTTAGGAAAAAGAAACAAAACTCTCATGATTTGTTGACCCCTGTCATTATATTGTGACTCTTTGTTCTACAGAAAAAAATAAATTGCCATCAATCAATCGGTATACTCTATCCAAATTAAAAAGAATAAACCATAGCCTAATTCATTCAACCTTCATCCCACATTGTCCATTAACATCACAAAATCAATTAGAAAGTATAATAATCTCAAAATCATTACTAAATAAGACTCCAAAAAAATGATTGGATTTGAGAAATAATCACGAATTTTACATTTGTACTTATTATCGCTCGATTCACACTATTTCTGAAGTTTAGATAAATGTTTAAATTCAAGTTCACAAACCCTACTTCCTTTGGTTTTTTGCTGTGAATTTTGCAGGTTCTTGCATATCATGGTGGTTGGCCTCATGCCCCGACGCATGTTGGTCTAATTTTGACGAAAGGTTACATGTGTTTATAGACACTTGTGGTGCTACATGCTTATGACTAACGACTGTTTCTTCCATTGCTCTTCGGTGACATTTGTTAAGGAAGGTGTCAGAAAGTCGTAAAGAATCTTACTTACAAAAGGAATAACACAAAGGCCAGATGGTATTGAAGCTCTACAGAATAGTGTTTGGAGATTCATTTATCATGGTAAGTTGATGTGTTCTTGTTTTCTAGAGTTCTTTTCCTAATAATTCGAGCTGATTATAAGATAGTATCTAATCAGAATTTTTTCAAATCAAAATCAATAACATATTTGTATCGAGAGTACGTTTGAAATTAAAAATTACCAAACAACTAAATCTATTTGTAATCATTTATATTTATACACGAATAACTCGTTTGAATAATCATTATAATTGATGAATGAGTTAAATCAAACCTGACAAGAGGAGAGATCGTCTTCCTATTTGGGAGGGAACTCAAGTTTCGCCAGAAAATATGGGGATTCTTTGAGAGATAATCTCCGGCTTCAAATTACAGCAAAATCGATTTGAGAGATTATATTATAAAATGGAACCAAGAAAATTTGTTGGGACGAACCGCATACAAAAATTCCCAACTCGGGTCATAATACTGCGCTTTTTGAGTTTAATTTCCATCCACTTTCTTTTGTCCCTAAAACTCTCTGATTTCTGTAGTGCATGTATATTTGGATTTGTCTAGCCGCCGTACGTCATCTTTGATTTTCGTGTTTCGTCCTTTGTAATTTACAATTACTCGTAATGATACCTAACGTTTAGTAAAAATGTTACTTTGATCCCTATCTCCTTATTTGGAATATGCTAATTTCCAATGTTTTATTTTGAGTTACTTCATTGACGGAGATGAAACTGAGAGGTGATAGTTTTTTATATTTTAGGGTTTAAAAATAAGAATGAGTTTTTGATGGTTAATCGATTTTTAATGATTTTTAATTAATAATATTTTTTTGATTTAAAATAAAACGTTAAGCATTTTTTAAAAAATCATAACTAAAATAACACTATTATCAGATGATAGAAATGTTTTTTTTATCATTATGCCTGAAAAATATTAAAGAGTTGGGGGGGGGGGGCGTTGGTCAACTCACCGTCAATGTAGCTACATTTAGAGGAGAGGTAATCTGCTTGTTGAAACAAGATATTGAATAGGTTGTTTGGGGTTCAAATTATATTTAATTTGAGTTTTATTTAGGTTGGATTGAATTTAGTACATATTTAGTTTGGATTTGTGGTAAGTTAGGTTGAGTCGGTTATTAAGTCAATTAATATCGATTTAGTTAATTTTTGGGTCGGAGCCTGATCAGTGTCTTTCTTTTACTGGCTGTGTTTAAATTTGTCATTGATATGAACACTATTTTTCCTTTAAATAAATCTAGGCAAATATTTTTAACGAGGTTCGTGTTAATTTTTTTTGCATGACTTTATTTTCTTTAATCATACATCTACATCTAAAAAAATCCTTTTGGGTTGGAGTCAAAATTTGATTGGTCAATTTTTAAATTGATTTAACATCATATTGATCAATTTTCGGTTTGAGTCTATCTTTGGATATTCAAGTCACTTTTGATTGAATTTAAATATCTTTTTATTTTTTCAATTTTATCAGTTAAATGTAAATATTTGACATAGTTTGTGAGATATATATATATAATTTGAATGAGAATTTTTAATTTAAGGCTTATGTTTTATATTAAATTGTAAATGATTTTTAAAAAAATAACTAGAGTCTATCGTCTAAATTACCCCTATTAAAGTTAATCATATGAACTAGAATTTGGCTAGTAGGTAATATTATTTTATAATATTTCATATCATATATTTTATTTTTTCCGGAAAAATTTATATTCAAACTCACGCATCTAATGGGGATGGGTGTTCGAGAGTCAAGTTGACTAGGGATGGTAACTGGTCAGGTATTAGTCCTCTTCTCCGTTTAAAAAATTCGTATCAGTTCTCACTTAAAAAATTGCGGGGATTTAAACGGGGATCTCCATCGGATAATCGGGGAAAACTGCGGGGAAACGGGCATCCCCGTTTAGCATAAACAGTTATTTAAACGGGTATCAGGTTAGATATATATATATTTAAATTAAATATATTAATATTATATATATTTTTTAAATTAAATTTATTAATATTATATATATATAATAATTATTTTTAATATTTATCGGGCCGAGTAATCGGGTAATCGGGGCGGGGATTACTAAACCCGTCCCCGTTTAACATAAACGATTTTCTCCCGTCCCTATCCCCGTTTAACATAAACGGTTTTTCTCCGTCCCCATTTAATTTGGTTTTCGATTTTTTCCGGCGGGTTCGGATTTTTTTACCATCCCTAGACGAGTCATGTTTTATAACTCAAATTTTATTTGAAAATTTTTTAGTTGAATTGAGTTGTTTGATTTTTTATTTAAATTAAAAATCTTTAGAGAAAATAATAGAGTATTTTTTTCAGCAATATTTTCTTAAGATATATTATATTTCATTTTATTGTAAATGAATTCAAATTAAAGTACAAACAGATGGCAAGACGAGTAACATGCTACGGTTCTTCGCGTAACAAAAACAAACTAATAATTTCCCTGCGTCGTCGGTTCTTCGCGTTATCTGCCTCTACACAGTTCCACGTGCTCATCACCTAGGCTGTTCAGCTTCCTTTGGCTTTTATTTACTTTATATTCTATCTTTTCTATTTAAGTATTAAAATATTTTTTTTATCAAAATAAATACTTAAGGTATTTTTTATCAAAATAAATACTTAAAATATTTATTTTTTTATTTAAGTACTTAAAATATTGTTTAACAAATGTCACACGTCAACTTTTCTAGAATTTAGATGAAAAAATTTAAATAATTTAGGTACCTATTTTAACATAAAATACTTTAGATACCTATTTGATTGGAAAGGTAGATCCTTGCTCACTATAATTTTGAAATTAGCTTGGACAACATTTATTTACACTGTTTGGGAGGAGAGGAACAAGAGGCTATTCCAGGTATGCTCACGAAATTTTAAAGCATTACTCTATGCTGTAAAACACACCTATCCAACTAAGGGGTAGAATTATTAATAGGAATGATAGTGTTAATACTATACTTTGTAATCATTGGGTATTGAATAGCTGAATTCTGTTATGTTGTAAGTAGATATTGTTTGTATTATTGAACAGGCTGTTTTTATATAGATATTTGGGTAATAAAATCGAATTATCCAAAAAAATAAAATAGACTTGTGTAAAAGCCAAAAAGATCGAACAGTTTGGTTAATGGGCTGATATTCAAGATAGAACTCGGATAAAAATGGGGGAAAAAGAAAGAGGGAACGTGCTTTAAAGAAGAAAAAGAAACAAGAAAACGCGTGGGAATCATCAGAATTGAAAGGGAGGTCCCTGTCGGAGTGGGATATGTGAATGTTTTAATTAGAGAAGCCAGAAAAGCAGTGGAGCTAGGCAAAGAAGTAGGGATTCAAGTTCAATGGCGCGAAGAAGATGTGAATGTGATGGAAGTAGAAGAGTAGATATTCAAAAGTTACATATATATTGAAATAGTAACCTTTTCCAGCCGATTACATGTTAATGGAAGGAGGTCATCCCTTCCTCTCGGATCCACTGCAAAACAACCCTAACACCATTTAACATTGCATCAAGCTTCGGTCCTCCTCTCGGACGTGAAGAAAAAGGTGTCTTGGTTGTTAAACTTGACCCTCCTGGCCTCTTCTCTTGAGATCTGATGGCGGAGACTCTTCCAGCCATCGGGGTGTTGGTTGCCTCTGAATTGGTGAAGAAGGAAACCCATTAGGCTCCTTCGCCGCCTGCTCGTTTCAAGAAGGCGAAGTTTTGCTGTACCGTCAGTAGCTGCACTTCCTCCACGTTATCGTCAAACACCGTGTCGCCGTTTTTGTTCACCACCAGCATTCTGGCGCAGCTTCTTAACATAAGTATCTTGTGGGCGTTGACGCGCCATTGTGGAATGGTATACGGGCTCTCTCTTTACAGTAAATAGAGTGTTAATGTTATGTGATTTGACATTTGATGAAATGTGGAGATTTTGTGGAGCTTACGCTGTGCCGCTGTGGAGAAGACCCATTTCGGCGCTGAGGCCGAGTGGGTTGAGGATGGGGAAGTTAAACCAGTTGTGAGTGGAAAGACGACAGGCTTGCGGGTTGAAAATGTCGGCACGTTCAGGGTCGGCGATGTTCTCCTTGATTCTCATGGCGCAGAATGTTTCCTCGAGGCCGTTATTTCTTCCTTCGCGGCGTCTTTCCTCCTCCTGCTGGATTTCTTGGCGCTCTTCCTCCTCCATTCTGTGTGGTGATACTACGTCCAGTCTTTCCTTGACTCTAATGATGCTGCCTCTGTTTCCTCGGACCTCTTGCAGCTTCCTAATGATATTGATGTCCGCGTTGAAAGCTTGAGCCAAGAACTCACTTTCGAAGGCGCGGAGAAGGTTTCTGCATTACGAGCTCCTCTGCTCGTAGCGGCGGCTGCGGTTGTCTTCTTCTTCTTCCTCCTCCTCCCGGCGCTCACTCCTGCTTCCGTGAAGCTGCTGTCGTGCAAACCTCCTTAGTCTTCTCTGTTCCTCTTCTGGGTTACCAGCAAGATTGAATTTAAACAACACAATAGAATTCATCATAAAAAATCGTTAGAAATTTAAAATTTTTCTATTTTTGCTGCTAAGAATGAGTGAAAGTAGTGTGTATATATATATATGAAGTATATACTCTTGGATTGTTATCGAGTTGATTAGCAATGTTGGCAGTGTGGAGGAGGTTGGCAGTAACAAGGCGCTCCTTGCCATCATTGTAGAACCAGTGCATGACGCCGGCCGGCAATGCAATGACGTCACCCTTGCGGAAGCGCCGGACCTTCTGGTGCTGGTCCTGGAACCTTGCATGGCTTTGCTGCCCTTGCTGTGATTCCTGGAATGTTTCTGCACATCCAGGCATCACGGTGCCCTGAATACCCCCTTCCTGATAACAAATTTCACAAGGGTAGATAGTAAACACTGGTGACGGACTATCTTATATTTAGCCACGGTAATCTAAGATTTACATGGACCCCGCTCACTACTTAGTCACAATTAATAATATTTTTTTATCTCATTTTTTTTAATATGAATCTTCACCCTTTTTGTATATGTAAATAAAGAGTGAATAATTATATAAAATTTATTTTAAAATTAATAGATATTATTCATTAGAACTATAAATGACATGTAAGTCAGACCATAAAATAATTTATTTTTATAAATATATTAAATTTGTTTATGTAAGATATTCACAGATTATGGTATATATTTTAATTTAATTTCTAATTTTTAAATATTTTATATCTTCAAAACTGCATTCTACATTAATCGGCTTGCCATCTGTTCATAGCTTAATTTGAATTTCATTTACAACAAAATGAAATTTAATTTTATTAAATTAAGTTTGAGTCTCGAATATATATAAAAAAATCAGGATATTAATTATTGGTTATAATAATTTAAGAGTTAACTGAAAATTTGGCTACAATAATTATTTAGTTATGATTTTCTCGTCTATTTTATAAAAATTAAAAAGTCAATTCTTTTTATGCTTCCATTGTTTTTTGGTTTGATCCGAACAAAAATCAGTTCGATCAAACTGAATGAAAAACATATATTAATCGATTAATTCAAATCAAGTAATATATAATATATATAATTATAAAACAGTCCCATCACAAAAGTGTTGATCTATAAGTAATATGACAAGATTTTGACCCTTATAAATGAGGTTGACGTCAATGTATAAATATTAATTAATCTAGCATCTTTTACAAGGTTTTCATATTCTCAATACATGGCTACCAATGTTCGAATTAATACTCCATTAACAAATTTGATGCTCAACTGGTGGATGAATCACAGTTCAAGGATGATACCATCCTCAGCTTTATAAGAACTCTCAAGTCTTCCATTGGAATCAAAATCTAGAGCAATAGGAACGAAATAACGGTTTGCTTATCGTTCGCCACCAGTTCCAGCAAAGAATTGGGCTAACTATGTTGTAGCGATCGCAAAAGGTAACTACGTGGTATCGGTGTTACCCTGTAATGAGAAGAGGGACCCAAGGAATAACTCCGCATGGCATACGAAAGAATGTCGGGTCTCCAACCGGAAAAACAACCTCGCTCGAGACAGAGCTCCTTGATTTGCTTGTAATGCCTGGTAATAATGTCTGGAGTAGAGAAAGCTTTCGGGGTTACAGATGAACACCTGGGGCAACAAAAATTAAAAGATGAGGTTCAACATCACAAGTGATACATAATGAAGGCCATCCCTTATCAAATTTATATGTACTTTAACACTAGTTTTCGATGAGAAGTGATGACATCTAGATAAAGATTTTTCGCACAACATATCCATATGCGCACATCTATGTTGCTCGAATTCGGGTGTATGTGCCGGACATGGATATGTTTGACCTTTGTTAAGTTTTTCCATGTAGTTGGAGGGTCCGACTCAAATGCTTTAAGAAAGACGACTCAGATAAACCACCATGTTTCAACCTTCCATTTGATCTCTAAAACAAGTGAATATTACAGTAATATTAACAAATTTATCATACAGTGGACCCAAATTCCTCAACGGGAAGCATGTAAAATTTGAGCCAAAAGGCAAAATCAGCAAAGGAGACCGAATCAATGCACGTTGAAAAAAAATTATTGCCAAAGTGGGAACTATAGAAATATGGGAGAGCATTAGTAGTAAACTTCGTAGAACTGAAGCAACGAATCTGTTTATAGTGCAGGATGGACAATAAGCAAGTGGTTAGCCTACCTTCTATTCTATACATAATGCCGCAGCGTATCGGCTGAAGAATTCCTTAACCTACAGCTCTGTCCCAAATGGACATCACCGAAGACATACCTACATCACCATACAACAGCTAATGAAAATCTTATAACATAAATTGGTAAGAGGAGGAAAAGCCGGATATAAAATAAAATATGGAACCTGTATTCACAACTTGAAAAGAAATTAAGGAATTCCATTGCCAATTTGCTGTTCTTACATATGCAGTATTGAACACCGATAGCTTAGCTGTTAGGCATAGATGCTTTTAACATCTTGAATTTGCTCTAGTTTTATTGTACTAAAGTTTTCCATATTGCATTACCAGACCTGTTTCATGGAATCATAGGAAGTCATTCAAGTAGTTTTAAGGTTTCAAAGCATATATCTTATTGGAAATCTAATAAGAACTAAACATTCGTTTCTACAAAATCTGCCTACAATTACCTTTCATTGAATGTGACTGCAGATTTCTTACAAGGCTCTACCATAAGTTTAATCTTCATATGCAATTTCCTTAAAGATAGCTTTTAAAGGGGACTAGTTTCAGAAAAGTAGTTGTGACCTGCTTCATTGCTCTAGTTCTATTGTATTAAAGTTTTATAGATTGTTGTGACCTGTTTCCATATTCCATTAGTATTCTATATGCATGCCCGTTTATTAATTGTCTAACTGACAAGGAACCATAACAGGGTAAGCTGTTTTCCACTTGAGCATGTAAACGAAAGCTGTTAAAAAAGTTCATGTAGGATGTGGTGGTTTTTGAGAAAAAGTAGAAAAGTAACCTCGGAAACAGGAAGGCCAAATGTGTTTCCAGAAAGTACTGCTTTGACCGTCTCTGTTGAACCAAGAAGAGGAGCTCCTAGGTTAAAAAAAGAAGATAATGAGACCAAGAAAGGTCAGACAAGACTATTCCAGGAAAAAACATCTTGTGTAAAGGATTTGATGCAAAGGATCGTACCCACGGCAAAATAAGCATATATGTGATCATCTAACCATTGGATGTACTGTCTTGGTGCAATTTCTAGCTTTAACCACTCCAAAAAGTAGCGGAAGACATTATTACCCAATGAATGGGCAAACACAATTGATGGCCCCCCACGAAGTTTATAAGCAGTTTCAAATGTCAGCCTGCAATCAGAAGCAGCAGCACTAATTAAATAGGCGAACATCATTGTCACAAGATTGCAATATATTTGCACAATCATCAATAAAAAATCTAAGTTACAATTAGGTTAGTTTAGTTTACCATCAACAGGACATCCTGAAAATTCAACTTATGTAAATCTAAAACAATGCACTTTCAACTCATCCTGTAGTTAAAGTGTCAGAGTAGCATCTCAACCCAATATATGGATCTAGTGTCAAAGTCGAGGGAAATGCAGAATTGGATTCTTATTTTCGAGTGCATAGAAAAATTAATAATTCAAGAGCATGATCCAACATATATTTGTGCCTCACACATAAACATTTCGAGTAAAAAAATTTCCGTCAGACTTGGGTTTAGACAAAAAGTAACTATAACTAAATTATACACTATTAAAATAAAAGAACACATCAAAATCAACTTTCTGACCACAGACCAGAAAAGTAGTGTGACTTAGAAAGTTACTCAAAAAGAGGCTTCATGAGGAGTTTAAAGCAAAGAGTTACATTCATTGAAAAAAATGAAAAGAAAATATCAAGCAAAATATTGTCAGAAACAGAACTTCCATGAGGAATACACATTTAATTTTAGTTTGGAAGAATCTATTGATGATGCACCAAAAGGTTAGTCACTGAAAATAAATAAATAAATAAAACAAAATTTTACTAGGCTACATGCATCAGAGGTAGAAAAAACAGAATGAACCAGAAAATATACATACTTTAACTTGTGAAAATAAAGGTCACGCTCCTCAAGCATCGATGGTGACAATCTCCAATCATATGGGACAGCTATGATTGCATTAGCCTCAATACCAAATTCAATGCACCACTTAACCCATTCTTTCCACACTGAAGAAAGAGGGCCTGTTATAAACAAACAAACAAAAAGTTAAGCATGAAGCATTTTGCAGACACTTGATATATGTTTTCGAATCAAGTGTAAATAAGAACAAAAGATAGAAAAGGAGAATAATACCTGTAATGTAACCTGGATCAAGTTCTGTAATAGCAGAAAGACCGCTATCAGGGCGTGACTTGCATTCTGGGTGATCAGTTTGGTTGTAAGGATCAAGAAACATACACTTAAGCCAACAATTTACAGCTGAGAGGAGCTGCAGATAAAAGAAGCGTGACAATCTTTTCCTTTTTTCTTTCATTTTTTTTTGATAAACAGAAGTGTGACAATCTTGGTATATTAAAAAAACAAACCACACCATACAACCTATATTACTCCGACTTCATTTTTTTTCCTGAAAGACATGTTTGGCACTTTTCAGACATCAAATGGAAGTATGATCCTCTAAATATGTGAAAAAGAACTCACAAAAATGTTGAGTGTATCAGGTTAAATTGTATAAAAGGAACATTGTATACCACTACTAAATACCTAGGTAGGCGGTTACTAGGTAACAACAGAATATTAGATGAAATTTGTTCAAAAGCGAGTATGGAGTACTAATGGCTTAGAGGAAGCATCAAAACTAATGATATTGAGGATGGCCACGATTTCTGGACGCATTCCTGATAGTCAACTTTTCTTGTTTGCTTTCTTTATTTTTCAGTCTAGTGATAAGAGAAATGATTGCATTATGTTGATAAAAAGGGTGTCAATATTAACTATTAAGTATGTTGATAACCATAGTAAGGAGCAAAATTCATTGATAATCCATGAACTTATAGATCAATATTCTATTTCCATCTATAATCTTCAAAAAGAAGAAAAAATCAATACTGTCAGCAAAGGGAAAAACATACATACTAGGCTTTAAAGAAAAACATCAAATTCAACTTCTTAGAACCTATAATACATCCTATAATCCCATGCAATAGAAAATTATTCAAGACTAAAGACAAGATAAAAGAAACCAAATAAAGTTAAACAAGAGGGGCGGAAAACCAACTTCACGTGAGCCTGTAATATAAACCAAGTTCATCATTCATTGCTAAAAAATATTTCCAAAAACCATGATGTCAGATAACCAAACTAACTCGTGATTAACCATTTATATATATATATGATGAACGTTAAATAGCATTACTTGATTATGCTCTTTCTATAAATCAACCAAACGTTTACTCTTTCTAACTTTTTTGTTAGTTTCAATTTCAATAATACCCCACAAATGGGTCCAACAACAGACTGAATATAACCAGAACAGAAACATTGTGTGGGGGGGGGGGGATACACAAACAGAACAACAGCAGCAGCAGCAACAACAACAGTATAATCCAAAAGGGGAAAAAGGCAGTTTACTAAACGGCGACAAGAGCCCAAAAGCAGGGGATCCTTACTTTTGTAGTGTCGAGCCAAACCAAGTCGAGTGGATTGAAATCGAGGGGAGAGTAAGGGCAGTCGAGAATGGACCAAGCTCTCAGCTGAGTTGAAGCAAATCCTGGGATTATAATTCCCGATATCTTTGAATAATCTCCTTTCAGCTCTCCTTCGCCGAGTTCTAAAATTCCCAGGAACAGAACCACCGTCAGAGTCATCGCTAAACAACGGCGTTTTCGATCATCTCCGCCCATGATTGATCCCTTTCTTTCTCTCTCATTTGTCATGACGTATGCCCAGCAGCCATTAAAATGCTTAGAAAGTTTACGATGGATGACCATTCAACTTCATTTGGGAGGTTGGAAATCCCCATTTTTTTATAATAAAAATGGGTAAATTATGTTAAATGGTCTCTCAACGTTTAAATTATATTTATTTTGATCATTATTCTTTTAAAACTTACAACAAATCATTGTACTTTTAATTTACTTTAATTACAATCACCGTCATAAAAAAAGTGACATGATATGTTAGTCTTATTTAAAAATATATATATATATATATATATATATTTTTAAATAAGAGTCATCGATCTCATTTTGTCTACATAATTATCATCTTACATACTCATCATATTTGAGAGTTTTATCATTTTTCTACGATCGTAGAATTATTCACTATCATTGTTCCATATGAACGTCAAGCACAACCGATATTCCTTTATCATCCATGAATTCTTTCATATTTTACCATCAACAACGAAAATCTTTTGAAGGTGGAGCAAAAGACTCGAAAATTTTATTTAAACTAGAAGAAAGAAAATTCTCCAGTCAAACATAGAATTGTCATCATTCAATATTTTTTTATCTAATAAGATACTTAAACTTTCTTTTGGTCTAATTAGACATTTGAATTTGGATCCTTGATTCAAATTGGTTATAATTATCAATTTGAATAAAAAAAAACTTAAGTTCAAATACCAATTTAAACCAAAAATTTAATTAAAATATCAATTTGTAAAATATTTACTATAATTTAACTTTATCATATACTTTTGTATAACAGTGTTAAAATCTATATATATTTTATAATCAATCTAAATAAAATATTTATCATCATGTAAAAATCATTTGAACCGGACTAAACCAATAATCACATTCTTTTTCTTTTATTACCAACAAAATCATTCATAGAAAACTTTATATAATCAGCATAGATCCCTTTAGGAAATTTCTCACAAGATATGCAGAATCATAGTACAGGGCAAAATAGGAACATGATAAGAAGAAAAATATATGAACACGGTTCAGCACTCCACGCCGCATTGTTTGAGGACCGGACCGGTTTGTTTGGGCAAGAAAGGATCGATCCGTACCCAAACCAGTGAAAAAATGGATGCCAACAGTACCGACCAAAGCACAACAATGGTGGGCGTCCTGTTTTGTCTCCCCATCAATCCTTTGAGGAAAGGGTAGAGGTGAAGAATGACCCAGAAAGCGAAGAACAGTTTGCCGAACAACGGACCCCATGAACCGTAGCCATTGTTGATCGCATCCGACACTCCGGCGACGACCCCGACCATGTTCATTATGATCAGGGTTGTGGGAGGGATTAAGAGAGTGGTCCACTTGAAGAGATAAAGCTCACCGAATTCTGTATCCTCCGCTGCTTTGGCAGTTACAGTGAAGTTGGTATCAACCCCGGCAAGGACTTTGAGGAGGCCTTGGAAAACAGCAAAAAGATGGGCGGAGACACCTCCGATGACCCAGAATTGTTCGTTTCGCCACCAGTCTTGGATGCTAACTCCGCTCCATCGAAGTTCAAGCACTCCTGTGGCTATGATGGAAAGGAAAAGTGCCAAGAACCATATACTTGTAAGGTTGCTTAGCTGCCAAGAAACCACAACTTGTCAAAACCTTGCATAAAAAGTTATTATGTAAATTTTTGGGACAGGATCTGATGAATACTTTCAGGGTCGGAGTCAAAGATTAAAGTAATAAATAAAATTCAGACAATATATGTTTAGTTACATTAACATAGAAAAGGATTGATCGTTCGGGACGAGTGAAAAACGGCATAAGTACTTACAGTTGGGATGATGAATTTGCCAGTGAGGAGACAAACGGCTGGAATAGTACAATAGGCGAGTAAAGGGATTGAAGTGAAAGGGTAAACAATGGTGTTGATATAAGCAAGCCTCTCAAGCCATTTCAGTTTTCCTCCATAACCGTACCAAAGTGGGCAGTGACGACTAAGGAAAATTTCTACCGAACCCAGTGCCCATCTCAAAACTTGGTGCAACCGATCCGAGAGATTGATTGGAGCCGACCCCTTAAATGCCGGTCGTTTTGGTACACAATAAACTGATTTCCACCCTCTGCAGTGCATCTTGAAACCTGTTAAAATATCTTCCGTCACCGATCCATAAATCCATCCGATCTGGCAATATACAAGTCGCTTAACTTGACTCCCAAACAAACAAAAAACATAATGTAAATTCAACTACTTCGATACCAAATTGTTAAAATGTATAACATTACTCACCTCTTTGCCCCACTCAGTTTTTTCTTCATAGCCACAGCTAATTACATGAATGGCTTCTTTAATAAGTGATGTGCTATTAGTTCTTTCAGGAAGGCCACCATTTTCCATCAAAGTTGAAGCAATGAAAACCGGTGATTGCCCAAATCGTTTCTCAAAATTCTTCTGCGACATTAATGATGATTTATCCAATTCTTCAATATCCTTCGAGTCCTTCTTCGATTTCTTCAAGATCGAAGACCGGAGCAGACCCTTTTTTCACATAGTTTTTCCCCATCATTTTCTTCTTTTTGGAGAATAGAAGCCCTCCGAGTAATCCCTTTTTCTCTCCTTTCTTCTTTGATTTCTTCCTTGAACCTCCACAACAACAACAACACCATGAAGGCCAGCAGTCGCAGGTCATCTTCGGTCTCTTCTCGGAGACTGGCGGATCGTAGCCGTACAATGCCTGCCTGTTGAAAACACACCCTGTGCCTACATATACAGGGCCTTGAAGTCCATCTAATCCCAACATGTTGATCTATAAACCGAAAGTGGAGTTTTAGGCATGAATTTTTCAAAGTCAAAATAAAAGAATTGCGAGCGGAAAGCAAGGCTTACATCAAAGAAGACAACGTTTCGATTAGCATATCGATCGTGGCGATCAATACCGTCGAATCTTTGCGGAAACTGAACGTAACAAAGCTTCTTTCCAAACTGAGGATCCATTAGAAAGCACATAGCTTCCCTTAAGGCCTTGCTGTTGTTGATGTAATGATCACAATCCAGATTCAATATGAAGGGTGCATTAGTAAGCACTGCAGAAACTCGAACCTGGTAATGGCATCCGTCACCCAAAAAAAGATCAGAAATGAATACAAAACAACAATGGTTTGGTACAATTCATAGACAGTAGTTTGGTTTTCCAAAAACCGAAGGAAAATCGAAATGAATGTCACAAATAACTGAATCAGCAGAACAAAGAACATTAGACTATAAGAAGAGTAATCACCAGAGCATTCTCAGCACCGGCTTTCTTGTGGTGCTGATAACCAGGACGTTTCTCACGAGAAACATAGACAAGCCGAGGTAGCTCTTTGCCATCGATATCAAGTGCACCGGCACTTCCTAGATAGACCTGTGAAAACGAAGAAATACATGATTTATATTGAAGACTCTTACGATATAGGAAATAATTAAGCCAAAAAAATCGTATCATAATCTGTAATTTATTAATCTTTAAATTACCTGAATCATTCCAGGATGATCACGTGTGTTATTTCCGGGCCATGGGGTGCCATCTTGCATCACCCATCCTTCTTCTGGTTTCTTCTGAGCATTTGCAACCAATGCATTGATCCTTACTTTATATTCTTCATATTCCCTCTGCAATAACATAAGATATATGCATTAAACCATTGTTAACTAGGAAAATGAGCTTGAATTCAAACACGAATGATTGAATTTAAAGTTGAGCCTGAAGAATCAAACTCAAATCTCATCAGGAAAACGAGTCTAACCAAGGAATTTTAACATTTTCATCTTTATCTTAAACTAAACTCAAGTTTTAATATTAAAACTTGATTCAACTCATTTTCACTAGATAAATGAGACTAATCAAACAAGCATCGAACTCAAACTGAACGTCGATTCGAAACTTGAGCTCGAATCGATTTTCTCAGAGTTTGAGCTCAACTCGACTAGATCACACTCAAAAACAGCGAGTTTAGCAACTTACTTTCATGGCTCTCCGTTCTTTAACAAAGCTAGGATGAACCTTGTCTTTCAAATAATCAATCTTCTCATTGAAATAAAACTCCGGCGCCCTCGGCTCAACGTTGTGTTTCTTACAAAACGGAACCCATCTCCTCGCGAACTCAGCCGTTTCAGACAAGGAATCGAAAGTGAGCATGGAAGCGCCATCATCTGACACATAACAACACACTTTCTCGACCGGATAATCAGCGGCCAAGATCGATAGAACCGTGTTGGCCGTTATGATCGGCGGTTCCTTGAGAGGATCGACGGTACTGACGAACACATCGACGGCGCCTAGTTGATTCGGCTCCCCTTCACGCTCGAATCTCAAAGAGAGGCGGTCCAGGTAAGTTTCGCGCCTAATGGGGAACCATTTGGGGAACTGATCGAGGATCCAAGAGAAGGCGAACCAAACTTCGCAGATAACGGAGATCAGCCATAACGGATAAGCGTCGTATGCCGGCGTTAGAATACGAAACCGGAGGAAAAATGCGAGGACGATGAAGCGGAGGACGATGACGATCCGATAAGGGCTTATCAAGCTCGATGAAATTGGGACTTTCCGCCATAAAGGTTGTCGAGCTTCAGCCAAGCTGCAAAAGAATCTCAACCGTCATATTTCAGTTTCTGAAGAAAAAAAAACAGAAGGAATAGTTTTTTTTAATTCCCTCAAACTATCTCCTTAATTTTAAATTTGTCCCTAAATATAAAAAAAATAAAATTTAATCCTTAAAATATTACTATAGTTGTATCAATTATTTTATTTTGTTAAACTGACAATATAAGAATTAGATATCAACCTAAATATAATATTAAATATATTTAAAATATATAGATTAAACTATATATATATATATATATATATTAAATAGATAGTTTGAATTTGATATTTTAAATGACAGATGCTTTCAATAAAAAAATTAAAGATCAAATAAAAATTATTTGTATAATTGGATAATTTTAATTGTTAATTGAGAAAATGATCTAATTAATATAATAGTTCAACATCATAATCATACAGTTGAACATAATTAGTGCAATTAATCTAAAAAATTAAGTGTATTTTTTTTACAAATAAGATAGGATTTATTTACATTATGTTTATAGAAATATAATCATAAGATTAAATTAAATGGCTTAGTGAAATTATATTTTTTTAATTAATTACTGGTATCTATTCTATTAATCGACCAAATCAGATTGGGCTTTGCAAAGATCCATTATGAGACGACCCTCTTAATCCAGTTTGCTCTATATGTAAACGTCAAGATCCGAACCATTGACATTGCTTAAAGAATATAGTGTCTCATCTCACTAGACCAACATAAGGTTTGAATCCTGACGGTTGTGTATAGGACAAATTGGGTAGAGAGGTTTACCTTTGTCTCTGTAGTAATCGATCCAGATTAATCGATTAATAATAAAACCAAAACAGGTGGTAAAAAAATTAGGAGGTGAAAACTTACAGGTAATCATCTTCTTCGGGGAAATCATTTCCAGCATTATCGTTGCTAATCAAACCTCGTTTTTCTTGCCTCACTTTCCATTTCTCAACTCTTTCTTTCCATTCTGCGCTTCCGTACATCTCTTTCTCGCCTTCTAAATCCTTCCCTGCAACTGCTCACCATTTCAATAATCTAAATTAGATACTCACATTGATTCAAGTTATTCCAGTCCAGTCAAGGTTTACTGAATACACTTACTGCTTCCTGCAACAGAGAAAGGTTGAGCATGGTGCTGCCATTGTTGATTATTATAGTCCCCATTTTCCTGCAAAATCAACCATGTTTTTTAACCATCAGATTGTTATTACAATTATTGTTGAAGGGCTTTGTTTTACATGTCCATCCGAGTTATCCTTGCGGTTCTTCATCTGAAAGTCATCGTCAAAATCTTCTTGGTCTGAGTTGTCTTCCTCGTCTCCTGGGATTCTCGGACTACCTGCGGAACAACCAAAGACAAAACAATTTCATGTGTTATACCATCTTCGAATCAGATCTTCCAAGGATATCACAAATGAAACGTTTCATTTGTTCTATCAACAGAAATGAAATGAATTACTGAGTAGTTACAGACCTTTGAGACGCTTATAGCGAGTGTTGCACTGAGGGCAGCACTGGTTCCCTTCACTCCTTTCGTATTCATAACAAGGCCGGCAAACCGGGAAACTACACACGTGACATGCTACGAACACTTGTCCGTTCTCCTTTTCCCCGATCTTATCCCCGCACACCTTGCATGTCCTCGCCGACGCCCGATTCTGCCATATCCGACATCCAAAGAACGTAAATAAGTTAGATGTAGATTTCAATAACGTTTTCTTGAACATAACAAGGAGAAGAAGAGAGAGTACCTCGTCGACGGCAAGTGAACCGAAGCCGGCCGCCATGTTGCTCGACGCCATTGGCAAAAGGTGGAAGGGGAAGGGAGAAGAGGGGGTGTATTATAAGTGATGAAATTGGATGAGTTGTATTAGGTTTCAAGTAAAATATGAGAGTGCCTGTACCAAACTGTGAGTTGGGAAGTCGTACGTTTGAGTCCAATAGACGTTAAACCAAAGCGGTTGGTGCTTTCCCCCCCCCCCCCCCCCCATTGAATAGCTCGCTTCGATTAAAAGATTTTAGGTTTGAGTATTATTGTTCGTTATTTTACATGTGGATTCTCTATCTAAGTTTATTATAATTTAAATTTTACTATATGCTAATTATACCTAGAGTTATTTTAATTTTAATTTATATATTTATTTGTTCTTTCTCTCACTTTTTTTTCTTTACAATTTGTGTTATTTTTTACAATCAAACCAACTTTTTATTCTTTGATTTTGTTTAGCCGACAACGGTATCAATTTTGATATTGTTTGTCGACCATCAGTTGTCTTTTACTTTTGTTTTTTAGTTTTTTATGATTAACTATGTCTTTATGACATGTTTATCTATGTTTTTGTGGCACATTTATCTCTGTCTTTTGGCAGTTTTCGGTTTTTTTGTTATTGTTTTTGTTTATCTTTTTTAGGGTTAGAGTTGACATCGCCACAACTGATCAAGATGACGTTTATTTGTTATTATGCTGATTTTCCCTACTTTGGACCTTCAAATTGATTTGGATACACGTTTTGCGTTCGTAGATAGTTTTCTCACGTCACTTGATTCTAATTTGCGATTTGTCGTGGTCTTTCAATTTTTTCATCCTTTTTGTGGTTTGTTTGTCGATGCAGTCAGATTTGTTCGTATCATTATTTTGTTAGAGTATTTTGGTTAGATTTTTTAATATTTTCCTTCTTTGGTATTTATATGATCTAGATGGCTAGTTTTTGTATCAATTGTTATAGAAAATGTCCTATTATAATTTAGTTTACGCTTACAGTTATACTTGTAAATTTTTATTGTAATTCTAGATATTTTCTAATTTTAATAAAATTAGTGTCTTTCTATAAATATATATACATTTGTCAAATTGTTTATTTGTGTTTCGAAGATACTGATTATAGTTATACATATATATTTGTTGTATTTGTAATTCCATTCATATGCTGTATTGATTATTCTTTATAGAAAAAATGTATTGCATGTAATTGAAACCTTAATCCAATTTGATCTTAGCTTTAATGAGGATTAAATTTAAATTTATTAAATAAAAATTAAGTAACAAGTACTAAATATATAATTATACCAGCCTTATTAACCGTCAATTTTTCTATCAACTATTAATGACAGATGGATTGACTTGCATCATTTAAATAATTAAATAGTATTAAAAAATTAAAAGATTGATGGTTAAATTAGAACCTTTCATAATTAAACAATCACATATATAATTTACCCTAATAAAAATGACGTCAGATGTTCAATAAGAGATATTTAATTAATACATCATATTTATAATTTATATTTTAGCACATTTAATCAGTTACATTAACATATGTAATATAAATATCCTTTACGTTATATATATATTGGCACAATATATACAATACGTTAATTACAACAAAAGATTTAAAATCAGACCCCATGAGTTCCTAGTTCCTTCCGTTTTAATCCTAACGTAGACGTATAGGATGTTGTCTTTTTAACATATTAACATTAATTATGAATTTATTTTCTTACAGCATAATATAGAAGCTTCATTGATCTCTTGTCAGTTTTCTTACAAAGACAGCTAGTTAGCCAGTCATTTTTAAAGCAAAATTATTAGGTAAACAATCCCACTCTTTTTTTTTAACAAAGAGGTAAATTTATTATTTTATGGTAAAAAAAAGCAACAAACGCAAGCTAAGCATTCTATTAAAAACAGTCCAGAAGAGTGAAACAAATATGGATCCAGCAACAGGAACCCAAAATGAAACCCCAGCTGAAAAAAGGAAACAAAGCTAAATTTGGATTCGAACAACGAACACTATTATTATATCAGACATATTAGACGTCAACTTTTAATTTTAATGACGAAATGGTTTATATGTAACAGTGTTTTCAAAGGGAAACCAGACTAGCCCATTTAAATTGCCACCGGCACCGGAGTTTTCATCATTCAGACATTTTTGGTCCCAGTATTCAAACCATATTTACATGGTTTACTATATCTACAGACTTAATCGAGATAACTAGCTCTCGTTTTTTTTTTCCGAAGATGGTTCGGTTCCGAACGTGCCTTGGATCTCTGTTCCAAAACAACCTATCAACAAAAATGGCAAAACATTTCCCTTACCAATAATTAGTTCATCTGGTGATCATGGCAGATTTAGACCCTGCACCATAGAAACATCTGTTGTTAAAGATACAACCAGTTAACGATAAGACAATAGCAGTTACCAGGAAAGCGGGCCTCGTTTAATATCGTTGTCGACAAAGGTCTTGATACAAAAAGCCGGTTTGAGCATTTGCAGATGAAATCATGGTTTAACGGACAACCAAAAAGGCAATAAAGCTTTTTGCATTTTGGGAAGTTTCGATTATGCTTTTTCTCGGCAAGTCAAACATTTAAAATTCTTAAAAGCGTATTATCTCGCCGTGAAAAGAAATTTTACACCACAGTTACTTACTAGTTGAACGTTTCATGTCCCTGCAAAACGTACTGCCACATCCGCACTGGAATTGCTTAACAGTATGATCAAGATCATCAAAGTCAAGTCCATAATCCTGCACGCAGAATATATAGCCTCTTACTACAGAAAAAAGTAAACACGTAACGGAAAACTTCATACCCGGTTTTCATCTCAAACCACACATGAACATATAATTGCTCCTGATCGCATATATCCAAACAAAAATAGCATCATTCAATGTCAGAGGATGTTCATACAAGCACACTAGGTGTATGTGCATCACGCATTAATTTATAAAATATACATTATTAACTTTGTCACGACTGTTTAGAGAATATCTGAAAGTAATCTCGCAAGGAAGAAAAATGTTCTAATTCATCTCTTCACATGCGTGATGCGACATCAACAATCTGATCGTACCATTTTTTTTCTTAAGCATATAAAATGTAACCAGATATCAACTACATGCATCAGGATGGTATAACTATAAGAAAATCACTCACCCAAGTCAGCTCTTCAAGTGCATCAACTTCTCGCGTTGTGAAGAAGGCTATCTGTACATGGTCAATGCTCAATTAGACTTGTTATTACACAGAATTGAAGCCACAAAACAAATAGGACTATGAAGGTAGAAGAAATCAGTATGCCGTACATGATAGTAATGAAGATCTGGAGACTCGACTTCAACAGGAATCTCAATCAAGTTTGCATCAAAGCATCTAGCAAAATAGGGGGGGAATCATATATTTTAAATCTCACTTTACTGAAGGTGCTCGAGTATTGCTTCAAATGCAATTTCCATGATCTATAACTAAAGTGAGAAAAACACACCACATAGAAACAGATTCACTGAAAAAAAGCATACCACATAGAAATAGATGCACAAGTAATGGAAAATTCTGAAAGAACACAGTATGAAAAGCAAAGGGCACATAAAGTCAAATATACATCACACATACAATTACCTATGATTGATGAACCTAGCAACATTTCCATAGCATGTGGCGTCCAAACAGAGAGCTTCTTCATCTGTGGAAACTCCCTTCAACCCCCAATAGGCATCTAGAAGGACTGGAGATGCATGTTTTTCTCTGTTCCTTGCATACAACTCGGAGATGGTGAGTATTTCTCCAACAAACTCACAAACGAAAGCTCCTTTGGGGAGCTTCTCTAGAGTTCTAAGGCCCCAACCTTTTCCATCAGGTGTCAGAAACACCTAAAATTCAGGCTAAATTAGTCAGCTGAAGAAAAAGGGCTTTATAAAGCAAATTCAAAGGTTGATGCCTTAATTTCAAAAGCAACCTAATGATAACAAGGACCATAAACTATACAAAACTTGGATCAATCAAACCTGCAATTTGTAATTTACACCTCTCTGCACCACCCGATTGCCACATCTCTTATTGCAGCCACATTTGCTCCAACATTCTTTTATAACATTTCTCTTTAGGTGACCTTTGCAAGATTCTGGAACGTCATCCTTCTTTGATCTCTCAAGGGGACACTCTGCGCAACTAAGGAAACATTGTTGTTGAGGATCACGAGTCATAGTTATACACTCTTCTAAGAAATCCTCCTTCAGAACACCTGCTAACGTATATACAAAATTTCCCCCAGAATAACAAGCACATGAGCAAAGCTGCTGAGACAAGAGACAATCCCCAAAGCATGTCTGACAACAACTTTCATCTCCAATCCCGGAAAGACAAAATCTAACACGAGCATCTTGAAAGACCAGATTCTCTGATATATATTGAAATGGTGGTGGAAAATCTTTACTATTTTCATTTACCCACGAAATTTGAACTTTTTCTTTCCCCCTTGTTAGGTCAATTGCATCATGAAGCCACCTTATTTCATCAGGTGTAAGTCCATGCTGCGGAACAACCATCAATTCCTCCCCACCCACATTGTCAACACATCCGTTTCTAGAGCACTGAACATTGAAAGATTCATTTGACATCCTACCTAGCAAGCAACCATTTTCTGTATTGCTCACAGCATTAAGAGCATCCCTTGCAGGAGATTGCTTCAATACATCAAGAGCCGGTATCACATTAACTTCTTGTAATTTTTTAGTGGAATTAGTTGCCAATTCCAATATGCACTCACACATATCACTTAAAACTTTGAATACATCAAAATTAGGGTCAATGAGTTTATATGACCGGAGGCACCTCTGTTCCATCAGTTCTCTAAGTTCATCTACACTAGGCAATTGGAAATTTGGTCTTCCAAGAGCAGAATTGTAGCTTATAGAAATCTTCACCTCTCCCAATGGCGTTGAGGCAATTTCAAGACTAGAAGGAATTTCTTTAGGAACGGTAGTAAGGTCACAGCTGCCATGCCTCTCACTCTTTGAAGCTGAAGCAGCACCTCCTACAGTTTTATCTGCATGCAGGGATTCTGGAGGTTCCTGCCAATTTGGTTTTGCAGTTGAAAAGTCCCCCGCTAACAAACCTCTTTCGCTTAATGAATCTGATAAAAAAGTTTTAATAGTAAAATAAATATGGACTAAAATCATTAGAAAATAGAACAAAAACAAAAAACTTCAGGCATCAATTACAATTTTCATATCCAACAATATAATAGTAATAAATGTTAATTAGCATATAATAGTACTTATTACAAAAACCCCATAACATGTAAAGGGTCTAAATGAAAATAGCTCTAGAGAATTGCCACAAGGTTAATCAAATATTGATTTGAAATGAAAATTGAATTAAGGAATAAAAGAGGCATTTCATATGGGAATGACAATAACTTACCTGGGTGAATAACTGCAATAGGAATCTCATCCACGGGAATGTCATCAGTAATCGGCTCTTCCTTGGGAATTATCAAAGCATGAGTAACTGGCAAACTTATTTTAGGACTAATACCAGGCTCAGGTGCTGGCTCTTTAATGCACAATGCTCGAGATGCTCGCTGAAGGCCATTCCGATCTGAAGCAACATGAGCTGATATAGGTTCCTTTCCTTTGTATCTGACATGCATTTGAGATAAATGTGAATTTGGTTCAGGTCTTTCTTGTACCGCCGGAGGACTAGGTTCTACAGTTTGCTTCCCTTTATTCCTACCACCTTGATGGGGTAAAACAGGAGCAGGAGAAGTAGGCCGAGATGAAACAGGTCGAACTGAAGCAGGCAGAGATTCTGCCCTTATATTTTCAACATTACACTGAAGTGGCTGCTGTTGCAAAGGAGCAGGAGGTAGTTCATCCTCCTCAACTTTAGGCTTTTTAAAAAGGGTTCCACCCCCATCGGAGCTGTCATTTCTATGAGAACATGATTCCTGATCATACTTTTTTCTCAGGCGTCTTCTTTTTAAGGGGTGTACAATTTCAACAGGTACAGAACCTTCTTCCTCAATATCTTCCTCCTGGTAGATAAAACAGTCTAACCATGTCAGTCAACATCAGATAGGAGAACAAGGAAAAACAAGAAATATTATGCACGGCCAGCATAAGTTACAGAAATGAGTCGCATACATCGCTGTTCTTGTCTGCTTCATGTTGTGGCACCTGAAAAGCACAAAGATCAGCGACAGCAACAAATATGACAAGTGATAAGAGTTAAAGCTGAACCAAAACAGATTATAAAGGAAAATGCACCTTACTATCGTCCTCTTCAAAGATAGCATCAGCAAGAACTCTATAATTCTCTGATTCAATTAGCTCCCAATTCTTGTCATACAGCTTAAGAAGCTTCTTCAATACCGGTTTCACTTTTTCCTTGCTTATCCCTATTTCCTCCATAGCGCGGAAGGCCTGCTTAAGTCTGGGGTTTGGTGCCATAATGCTTGATAAAGCTATCAGTTTTGCAGGCTTGAAAACACCAACGCTTAAGCCCAAACTTTCCCATTTTGAGGACGATTAAGATAGAAAACAACAATCAGTCCAGGAATGAAAGTAGAAGAGTAGCAGAAGGAAATTAAAAATGATGTAATTGTAAACATCAAATGCAAGAAAAATAAAAAAAGAAATGGCATACATAACTAACTGGACCGATAGCTAACTTGCACAAATCAGAGCAGGAAACGAACACTTCGATTTAACTTTAAAAGTCTACACTATACAACTAAATTGAGATAATTACGTGATCATCCAAATATATTTCAAAACATTGCCACAATGTAGATAATTAAAGTTCAAGAAAGAAAATTAAAAGCTAAAGCATCCATGATTACATGAAAAAAGGAGAAGCCAGTTAAACTGTTTACGTTACCAAGCCAAACCCTAGAAGAAGAACAGAATAGATCTTTGTTTAAAAAAAGTTCGGCCTTGGAAAATAGGGAGGCGCGGTACCGAAAAGGGGTAAAAGAAAAGAGCAGAAAATAAAGGCTAAAACCCTTAAGAATTTCTAATTTATTTTTCTTTTTACGGTGTCGTTTCAGTGACCAAACAACTACAACCACCGAGCTTTCTGCATCATATTCCTGTCAGTTCAACTCTTACGAGGAAAACAAATATTACCAAATTTCGTCATGAGAATAACAACTACAACCACCGAGCTTTCTACAACCACCGAGCTTTCTGCATCAAATATTACCAAATTTCGTCATGAGAATAACCTTGGTAGAGGAAAGAGGGAGATTGAAAAACAAAAACAGAGCTTTCAAGGTTTTGACTTCTGATTTTCTCAAGGAAAAACGCCCAAAAAATTGAATGTTTTTAGAGGGCGATGTACTGAGTCTAGACATCTCGACTCGACTCGACAACAATATATAGCGCAAAATGGCCGAGTGGAGAAACTATAGGGTTTTGGGCTCGGGTGAGTAGCACCGGACATATTCGGGTAACTCGGGTTAACCAATTGAAATCGATTCGTTTGACTATTTTTGATTAAGGGTAAGTATTTGATTGAATTAAATTAAATTAATTGAAAATTTTAAATTTAAAGAGTATTATATTATCATTTTAAATCTTATTTAAAAAATTTCAAATCAAATCAAATATATTTATTTACTTTTTTTAGAAATTTAATTTTTTTTATTTTATAATATTTATGATACTCATCAATTATAATTTAATATTTTTAAATTCATTAAATGGTCTCAATAATAATAAAAATATTATTTTTTATAAAAAATTGATTTGACAATTATATATGCATCAACGATTAAGAAAAAATAAGAATAAATTCAACTTATAATCATCTTATATTCAAAAATAATAATTTAATGTAATCTCAAAATGGATCAGCCCCACCATCTCTTAAACTAGGAGTGGGAACGAGTCGAGTCGAACTCGAGTAGTGTTGAGCTCGACTCAACTCGAAAACTCTGAAATGAAACTCTTGAATAGTTCGAAAAGGTTCGAAATGAAGAAAAAAAATCTTAAACTTAATTCGATTGAAGCCTCAAACTCGAACCTAAACTTTAAATACAAGAAAAGCTTACTTTATTTTTAAAAAAAATCAATACATAAATGTTAATATTATTAAATAATTTATTTTTTAAAAATAAAATCTTAATATATTATATTTTCGAGCTGCTCACAAGCTTTTCAAGTCGAATATCAAGTAACTAGTTTCGGCTCGTTAAGAACTCGAGTCGAGCTCGAGTCCATTCGATCCGAGTATTTATCGAGCCTTTATTGAGTCAATCTTGAGTAACTCACGATCTGTTTCGTCATTCTCATTTACAACCCTACCTTAAACTACCAAATTTAAAACCTTACTTGAACCCTCAAAAAAACCTATATAAGACATTGACAGATGTAAATGGGTCCACGGTGGATATCTCTATAATTTTTAGCGTAAACTACATAAATGGTCATTAATGTTTGAGTAAATTATTATTGTCATCACTGGTGTTTTAAAAGTCACATATCGGTCACTAACGTTATCGTTTGTTGTAAATTGATCATTCGACGTTAACAGACGTTACTGTGGGTTACGGAAAGCTGATGTGACACGTTAATATAATTTTTTTTGGCATCATTTAGACCATTTTGACCGACCATTCTTCTTCTTAAACAAAACTGCTCCTCCTCAACTCAACTAGACTTAGATCTACAATGATAAAACAAACAGATTATGGAGATTTGTTTCACTTTCAGATTAGCAATTCTGCTAACTCCTATGAGAAGCTTAGCAGCCGGTGACGATACTGTTGGTTTCATCTATAATGGATTCCGGTTGGCTAATCCAAGCCTTGATGGCATCGCACAGTTCATTCTCAATGGACTCCTAAAGCTCACCAATGAAACCCACCAACAAAAAGGCCATGCCTTCTACCCTCACCTTCTAAACTTCAAGAACTCAACTAAAGGCTCTGTTTCTTCTTTCTCTAACACCTTTGTCTTCGCAATTACTTCCGAGTATCTGACTATCAACGGACACGGCATCGCATTCGTGATTTCACTGACCATGGGCCTTCCCGGAGCTCTTCCAAACTAGTATCTTGGACTCTTCAATGACATCAACAATGGCAATAGAAGAAACCACGTTGTTGCTGTAGTCTGTATAACTCGATACCATACAAAGTAGAGATTCGGGTGACATCAATAACAATCACGTTGGGATTGATATTAATGGTTTAATGTCTATTGCATCTACTCCAGTTGGATATTACGAGGATGGCAGTCGTCAGCTTAGAAACCTGAGTATGTTTAGTGGGAAAAGGATACAAGTTTGGATCGAATATCATGGTCCAGAGAAGCGAATGGATGTTACTTTAGCTCCGTTGAAGGTTTCTAAACTCAAGACTCCACTTTTATCTAAGCATCTTGATCTTTCTTCAATCATTAACGATGATATGTATTTTGGATTTCATCCTCAACTTGCTTTATGTTCTTATCTCATTATGTTTTGGGTTGGAGCTTTAAGATGAAGGTGAGGCGTAAGAGCTTACCCTGTCTCTCAAAATGGTATAATATGATTAAATGATGCCAAAAAATCATATTAACAGGCCACATCAGTTTTTCTTCACCCACAGTAATGGTTTTTAACATCGAGTGATCAATTTATAACAAACGATAACATTAGTGACCGATATGTGACTTTTGAAACATCAATGGTGTAAACTAAAACTTACTCAAATATTGGTGACTATTCGTATAGTTTATCTCTTTTTTATTAAATAAAAAAAAAAAGTTAATTGCATGCAACCCTGCGTATCATAAACAAAATGGGAGTCCTATTAAAATAATGCCAACGGGTATGGAGATCAGCCGCAAAGTAGCATCTGAATTAATCCCAGTTTTGCAGAGCTTGTTAAGATCAAAAGAGAAATGATCGGGTGCGGATGTTTCTACCGGAAGAAAATGGATACACTGCCGCCTTCCGAGCCTGAAACCTTCTCTCTTCCCGGCCCAGCTCCTCCTCCTCAATGGCCTCCAGGTACTTGCATTTCTCAACTCCAAAACAATTTCCGCATTTTGAATGCTGGGTTTCCCTATCGTTGTGTATTTTGTTGATGAGAAAATATTCATCGAAAGAAAAAATAAAGAGTTAATCTTTTAATATAAATATATATATTCATTTTTTTATCGATAGGTGATTCGTGATCAGATCTATATTGGATTATACGTCTAAAATATGAGATGTAATTTTCGATACGGATATAAATACATACTCAAAAGAGTATGTTAAAATCTATGTTATTTGTACTCGTACTACAAAAAAAAATCATCTTCATTGTCACTAAAACACTAAATTTAGACATTAAAATACATAGTGATAAAATTTTCAAGTCGTCACTAATAATTCGTCAATATTATATTAGTGACAATCATTTTAAAATCTGTCACAATTGTTCATTTTTTTTTGTGTCCATCTATTCGAAACAATTATCAATTTAAATTGTGATAAAAAAAAATTGACACTAAAAATATATTTTGTGACCATCGATATTATCACACTAAGTATTTTTAGTGACCAAATGTTTGATATTATTATCGATAGAAATTGTAATAAATTTATCTGACACTAAAAGTATGTTTTGTGACCTTTTTTTTGACACATAAATATTAATAACATTGACGAAAATTTAGACACTAATAGCATCCTTATTAGTGACAAATAATTTATCACAACTACATAACTAAATTAATTAAAAAAATTATTATGCAATCAATTATAATAGATATTACATTTTTAGTTGTATACATCTTTTTTTAGGAACTTGTACTGTAATCATTGTCATTGAACTTGTGACCTTCAGGGAAATAGTGCAACGTCTAGCCATTGTGTTGAGAAAGAAATATATGTTATTGGCAAAAAATAATTTTTATGTTAAATTATTGTTGGAATTAATTTTATTTATTTTAATATATATAATATTATTTATTATTATAATAATTTAATTTAATTTTCTATGATTTCTCATATGAAATATGTTCATGGAAGGTAAATATAAAAAATAATTAGGTTTATTTTTAAATATAATTATATAAATATTAAGATTTAAATATAAAATAATACCAAGTGTTCTTAAATTATATTTAAAAATAAAATAAAAATATTTGACAATGTATTAACCTCTTGTAGTTAAAGTCTTAAATTAAAAAAGAAAGTACTAATACTTAACGGTGTTTGCAAACTTCATGTATATCTCCATAAAGATCATAAATTACATATAAAAATTAATCAATTATTTTGAAGAAAAAAATTAATTATAATTGAAGATTAAATGACACTATCAAAGCTTATAGTATCGTCAGTCATTTATCTTGTTAATAAAAAAATCATAATAATATAAAATAAAATATTTAAAAAGTTAATGTAATTTTTTTAGTCATTTATTAGTTATATACTCATTGTACAATTTAGATAGTTATTGAAATTTAAAATTTTAAAATATATAAAGACTAAAATTAATCGAATTAGAGCATAAGACTAATAACAAAATTTTACCATTCAATAAACTAATTTATCTTAACAAAAATTTTAATTATTATTGATGTCAATACTTATCACAACAAAAAGTAAAATTTTAAATGACAAGCAACTTTATTACCACAATAAATATAAAAAAATAATTATCATTTTATATATTGTCACTATCATATCATTTCTCTTCAAGGATAATTGTGTCAATCTACGAATTTTAATAGTATCAAAATTTTTATGATTGAAAAATTTGTATCACAATTATATACTTATAGTGAGAATTTAATTATGAGAAAAATATATTCATCATAATTATTACTATAACAGTGATGAAATAAAAAAATATTACACTTATTTTTATTAATAGCTTCATACAAATTTTTTGTCACCAAAAGTTTGATATTTGTGACAAAATTACTAATAGTCATCAATTTGTCAATAAATATATTTACTTTTATAGTAATACTTGTGACATAATTTAAGATCATCACAAGTATATCATTATAAAATGATAAACTTACTAGTGAACAGATGTTACTATCACAAATATGAACAAGGATAGAGACCACTTAATATGTTATAATTATTATATTGTTTTTTGTTTAAAAAATGTGATGTCAATTCAAACATTTTATTAGTGACTAAATATACGTAGGACACAACTATTTACTTCATTAGTGATAAAAATTATTTTCGTCACAAATCACCAACTAAGATTAGTGACAAAATGTTTTCATCACAATTATGAATAATAATAATAATAATAATGACTACGTAATATATTATCACTATTACAATTTTTCCCACGAAAAATAAGTTGGAGCCTATTCGACTACTCTATTAGTGAGCAATTGATAACGACAACTTGCTTTGATAACAATCAAACATTATTAGTGACAAATTACTTGTGATGAACTTCAAAATTATCACAATTATTATCTAAAGAGTGACAAAATAAAAATAAGTCACAATTATTCATTTCAAAAGTGACAAATATTTTTTGTCTTTGTGACGAAAATCTTGGTGTCATGATCAAATGGTCACTAAAAATATTAATTCTTGTAGTGTCGGGTGCGACCGTTGGATACAATACTTAAAAAAAAATTATTCTGTAAATGTTTTTATTGACTGCCTCTATTTTCAGGTGAAGGATTTGCTTCTAGAATAATAAATCTCAGAGAACTCGAAGTTGTTAAAGTCTCGAGATCAAAGTTCATCTACAGCAGTAACTTGGAGGACACGAAAAGGGGTGTCTCGTTTTATAAACCAGTTGGAATACCTGATGGATTTTATGGCCTTGATCACTATTGTCAATCTAATGACCAACCTTTAAGAGGTTCTGTTCTTGTTAAGTGGGAAACGCCTTCTGAATCGAATGCCACTGATTTCTCGATATTACCTCACCGAGCCTTAGAGTGCCTCTTGATTATAAGCTAGTTTGGAAATCAAGCGATGGTAGTGAGGGAAGTCCTGTAGGTTGCGGTTTCTTCTAGTTGCCGCAGCCTCCATAGGGCTATAACGCTGCAGGTCATTTGGTCACGAATTCTTCTAAAAAATCTAAACTAGATGAAGTGAGAGGTGTTCGAGCTGATTTGATGGATGGATGCGAATATTATCGGGTTATGCATTCGGAATTTTTGTTAGAGTTTGGAGCTCGAGACCATCTCATCGAGGGATACAAGAGGGGTGTTTCCGTGGGACTTTTTCTTGCGATTTGATGCCAGGACGAGACCGTCTCATCGAGGGATGCAGGGGAGCATATACTTCTCCCAGCACAGTGGTGGTACATGGGTGAATGCATATGATTTGGAGTACAAGGAAATAAAGCGATCGTCTACTCGTCAAAAAATGGACACGCAAGGTTTTCTCACCCGGGGACTTACATTCAAGGTTCTGCAACACTAGGAATCGGGATTCGAAACGATTGCGCTAGTAGTAACTTGTACGTTGATTCGAGTACTCGATATGAACTTGTTGCTGAAGAATATCTAGGAGATGGGGTTGTAGCAGAGCCTGGTTGGTTGCATTTTAAGCAAAAATAGGGCCTGAAGATCGTCTATGATTCGAGAACTGAATTGGATAAAATCGTTCATGTATTACCGATGATGCTTCGGTCTTCGGTGAAGAAAATTTTCGATAAGCTCTCGGTTGAGCTTTACGGAGAGGATGGCCCTACTGGTCCTAAGGAGAAGAATAATTGGGTTGGCGATGAAAGTTGTCATTATGAGGTGGAAGCTAACCTTGGCTCCTCTTTTTGGTCCAATGAATGGTGGCTTGGGCTTAGGTGCTTCGCCACCTTCTGGTACCGCCGTGGCGGTTGCCGGCGCTGGCTCTGCTGGCGAAGCATCCTCGGCTGCCCTCACAACGAGCCGTAAATTGTTGTTGTTGTTGATTTTGGAAGGGAAAAAGGCCATGTTGATGTTGGTCTTTGCAGTGGCCGTTACGTTGGGAGTTAATAGAAACCTCGAGGCAGCCGTTGCCATGCCGAAGCCGCCGCAGCTGGCCATTGTCTCTCTGTGTCGTAAACAGATGGAATTGTTGAAACTGTGTGGTTCAATTTTTTTTAAGCAAATGAAGGAACAAAGATCGAAAGGCCTTGAATTTATTGGATTCTTGTTCATCAATGGATTATCTGATATTTTGGAGGAGTGGGCTCTTTTGATTTTTTCACCCACTAGGAAGCTGCCACGTATGCACAATATCTTATTTGTTTGGATAATGTGATTCAAATTTTGTACTCTGAGCTATGTTTTCATTTTTCTTTCAATGAATTTAAAATATTAAAAAAATTACAATATCTTAATAATGCGATTGAAAATATTTTATGTAAAAAAATTATTTTAATAACCATTGAATTTAGTTCTTTTTTATAAGTTAATACACATGTCCCATATAATATTGTAAATAATACTTTTATAACTTTATTAATTTTCAATAAAAAATTTATAACTTTTATCTAAAATCCATAAAATCTACCGCAATAAACCACATGACAATAATATCTTAAAAAAAGATTTAACGGAAAAATTAATTAATACAACTTCTTAGTTTGAAGATTTAATTGATTTAATTATCTTATCTGAGGATTCCATTGCATATAAAAAATTTAAAAAAAATTACATAGATTATTGATGAAGAGAGAAAATGACGTAAAAAATTTAAAAGAAAAAAATATCATATCAGTGTCTACGTTAAATATTTAATCGTCGATCACTAAAATAATAAAAAAAAAGATAACATTAGTAATGCTTTTGTAAAAAAAATAGTTCGATGACCCTAATTGAAAAGAAACTATAGGTTGGTGATTACGAGTGTAATTTACCCAAATATTTATTATATTCATGCACCAGCACAGAGCTAATGCTTATGATGAGTCACCGGTTCATTCTTCAACAGGCAACACAGTCCAAGGGAAACAATAGGGTTGAGGAAGAGGCGAAAAGGACATGAAATCAACAACGTTTATACAACATTCACTCAAACAAATCATTTCAAATGACAACAGTAGTACAGTATTTGCCCAGACAGAATAACAGTAACAACAGATTCAATCATTAGAATCGTTTCATAAACATGATTATACAGTCAGTAATACACACGAACGAGTCCAAAGATCTATGCAAAACATAAATTTCATTCGGAAATACAAAGAATTTAAAGGAGTGTGATGATATGTACCTGATCGGTTTGAAATACGGAAGATACTGCCGCCTGTGAGATAGAGCAGTCTCTTGATCATCATTCTACTTCAACTTCATACTTGCAGATGGCCTTCTATTTCAGTGAATTATAGTTACCGCCACTCTGCAATCCAAACTGCAATATACAAGATTCGATAGCATAATGTAGGAAATGAAACAACTTTAAAGAAATTGCATCACATGAAAGATACAAGGGCAAATATAACTTGGTGTTAACTGAAGTTACTGCATTCTAATACACCAAAGTTATGTTGAATGAACTCATGTATAATTACGAACTGGATATGTATTCAACCATCAGGCATTTGCTATTAAGATTCCAGATTTTCATGCATTCCACCTGATCACCAAATACTTCAATAGATTACTTAAAAAAAACTCGCATGTAGCATTCCAGTGATGAGATTCACTTCGGTATGAAGACAACTTGAAGGAACCAGTTTCACCGGCAGTGATCATCATTCAATCTCGAATTAGATTTCGGCATGACGCATAAAAGATTTCACATCATACAAAATAAACAAATAAAATAACAAGTGAACTGTCCCATATAACTAGCATGCCAGCCATCTTTTCTCTACTAAAGATGAGTTACATGTACTGAAAGTCGGGATACCTTTTCTCTCATTCGTGAACCCCACATGTTAGATTGTGCTCCCCTGCCATCACCCTTGGCCGACGTAGATGAGTGGCTAGACTGAGGGTTCAGGAGTGGCTCCCAAGTTCTACCTCGGTCGCTTTCATAATCATCTTCCTCTTCAATGTCTCTTCTTCTAGCAGAAACCATTGCCCGTAAAATTATTGCTACTAACAAGGCTAATGCCTGAAACATTGAAGGAATATTGATTAGAGTAAAGAAACCAGAAGATTTATCAGGCATTTAGGCGAGAACTTATATTTTATTTCCTAACAGAAAACAAGATCCTTTCCATCTAGCCTTTGGATATAGTTAACACAAATATAATATATATATATATATATTAACTAAGAAAACAGTTCAGTGCTACAAGAGGTGAAACCCAAAATAAATACTTTTGCAAAACATGGTCAGAAGATCATTGCATCATAAATGAACTTCAGTAGAACCTTCATCTGATGAAGTGCAATGCAACTGGTCAAAAAAGTATGTACTTATTTAGTAACTACATTTTCTTTTGATGAGCTTAATAACTGCAAACAATTAATTTATAATGTTTAATGTCATAAACTGCAGGAGAACATGGGTTAAAAGATATACTTGAATGACGACCACGCCGAGGCCAACCCATTTACATATATCAACATTGTCTTCGACAAAAGATCGGAAGCTATCAAGTTCCCCAGTTGGGTCAAATGGAAGATCCTGTCATAAAATATGGTATTTAGTTGTAAATGATAACCTGCACGTGATCAAAACCATAGCATCTCAAGCTAAACCCAACGTACCAAAAAGAAAAATATACCTTCTCCCACCTACGGTCAATTGCAATAAATGCAACCAAAGCAGCTTCAATTAGAATTAAAACAATTTTGAGAAGTGTATACTGGCAGTTTTATCAAGTTAAGGAAAAACATTACCGGAAAGCAGTCCATTGGATACTTGGCTGCGGATATAGAACTTAAAATCACCAATTTCTTCTTTGCCAATAAATTTAACAAGTATTTAGTTTTAGAGACACTTAAAAGTGAAAATGTAGAAGATGAAATATTAAATTTTGTGCTCCAATAAATAGAAAACCATTGTCTGAAATTAGCTTTTTTCGTTAAAAATCGCTAATGTCTACCGCAGAGAACTAGAGATGTTCACAATCACTTCAGTTTTAAGTTATCTTTAAGCCAAATTCACTAGAAAAAGAAATGTAAAGACTCATCTGGTAGGATACAAAGCAAAGGCAGCATCCATTAACAGATTCAGCAGCTATGCAACCGATGAGAGTAATGCAACATAATGCGATTCCTATTCCCATAAAAGAGTATATGAACCTGAAACAAAGAAGAAAATCATCAAAGTTTGCAATCCAAATGTCTAACCGAAAGCACCACAATAAGCAAGTTCTACAATAAACCATCTAATGCAATAATCACAAAAACTTCACTTTAAACTTTTTTTATGAAAAAAAAATCACCACGTCAACTAGCCAGTGGAGTAATGGTAAATTACTAACTAAATATTAAGAGGTAAAAGAAACAACACAGAAAACAACTCGAATCGAGCTAGCAATTTTGATGCATGGCATGTTTTGTTGAAAAACTTAAGGAACCTCACCTAAGAACAAATCATTAAATTAAATGATCAAAGGTTTCCAGATATACAAGTCTTAAAGTGAGTTTATTAACATGTCCTCTCAAACAATTAAAATTCGTCTTCTTTGCTTCCAATTTGTTTATAGCATTAATGCAGTGTCCACTCCAATTGTATAAATTTCTTTTTAAAAATGGACTAAATAGAGGAAATACCAGGGAGCAGGTAGTTCAACGGAGCTCAAGTTTAACTCGACACCATCACCCAACCCGAAGACCAACCCGGCAGCTAAACCGTCGAAGACCCTAGCTGCTTGAGCTCCAACCTCCGGTCCCGAATTGAAGAGTACCGAATCAGGTACAGAAGAAGACGGTGACGGCGCTAAAGCAGGCGGAGAAATCGGGACGTGATGGTTCCACTGATCCAGCATCCATATTGAGTAGAGAACAATCGATACTCCAACGAAAGCTTGGAGAGAATTCAACAACTTGAGAACAAACGCAAACGGAACGTGGCAGCAATTCGTCTGCATTCCCTATGATCTTTCAATCGATTTCGACTTCAATTTTCGTTTCGATCATTTGATTTTGGGAAGTAATGAGATCGAAACTGCGTTTATTGACTTTCGCAGATAATAACAACTTTTTTAATGGGTAAACTACATAAATAGTCTCTAAAGTTTAAATAAGCTTCTCTTTTTTCCGTTCACAATTATTACTAATATAACAAAATAATACATTAGACAAATTATGTTTGGTTTTCGTCGACTTTATATTTGCTTCAATAACATTATAGAGTTTTGAGAGACCGCATAACCAAAAGTGCATGTGATTTAATTATTTTATAATAATTAAATATTAAAATCCTATTGCAATAAAATTATGGGTGAACTATGCAGATAGTCCCCTATGTTTTTAGTTTGACTGACTTTGGTCACTAATTTAAAATTAAGAAGGAATGATCCCTAACGTTATTGATCCATTCAATTTTAGTCCCTCATCCATGTTAGGGACTTAAACAAAAGGGGTTAATGAAAATTAGGGACTAAAATCAAATGGATCAATAATGTTAGGGATTATTTCTCCTTAATTTTTAAATTGGTGACTAAAGTCGGTCAGACCCTAAACATAAGGGACTATCCGCATAGTTTACCCTAAATTATTGATCTATTAAACTTTCCCTTCATTCCACTATGAACATTCAAATAATAGCAGCTTTTAACTCATTTTCTTCCCCATATGTTCACCATGCCATCCCACTTATATTTCAAACGATACTCACTATGTTGATAGCTGAACAAATAGACTCCGTCATTTTCCAACTCCACCGGCAGTTGTTTCCGCCGCACTCCTCCATGAGGAACTTATCGTTCACCCAGAAAACATCGAGATACTTTTCGCCATGGCTCCACATGTGGCAGGAGTACTTGTCCGGGAGAAGAACTCGGCGTGGAACGTCCAGTTGAACTTGCCATGGATGGGGACGTACGTAGCGGAGTCCGAGATCGTCGTCTTTTTATCGGAAGTGAGCCTCGAGCGTCTCGTTGGTGCCGGTTGATGACGTGAACGTGACTTATTCGGGATCAAGTAGGCGACGAGTGACTGAGCCATGCAGAGAGCCAAAACCAGCAAGATGTTGGTCCCTAAATAATGCTCATACGTATCAATGTGCTCGTGCCCTTGGGCCCTTTTTATAGAGCGAAAGCAAGTGAAAGTTGCACAAAAATAATATTAATGTAAGAGTTAATTGCACCTTACCTCCTTAAACTATGACTCTTATTTAAAATTGATTCATAAACTATAACTTTCATTCTAAATGGATCTCTAAACTTTTGAACATTTCAAATTCATCTTCAAACTATGATTGTCATGCTAAATTTGTCTCTAAACTTTTTGACATTCCAATAACATTCCCCTGATTACACTCTAATCCGATATAGAAACACTTAAATAGAAAATTTACTAAATTGTAATATCAATTTGCATTGTATTTTTTTTGAGGGATTGCATTGTATTTTTCCTTATATTCAAAGGGGACCTCTTCACCTATATATGACCAAAAAGCATTAAAAAGCTCAGGATTTTGTGAAGTAAATAAGGCAAGGAAATGACCACAGACTCGACAGTTACAATTTGTGTCCATTGACGGTCGAGTATAGTTTATTACTACTAAATGTAAGTTTTTTTTTTTAGGGTAAATTATATCCTTCATTATTTAATTATGGGAGGATTTCAATTTATCACTCTGCCACATATTTCTTAAATTTATTAATCAAAACACTTAATTATTTAGACGATAGTAATCAAGCCATCTTTTAAGGGAGAGATTGACGTGACCGTTAACAAAATTTATATAATTATAAATTTAGTCATTATTACAACTTTCACATTTTATCAATTTGATCCTATTTTTAATTTAATTCAACAAATTTATTCCTCCAATAAATTTAATTCAATAAACTTGTAAATTCAAAAAAATTAAATTATAGAACCACTATCACTACTAATATCTAATATATTGACTGATTAATTTGGATAATGTCATGTTTTGGAGATGTGGTAGTGGACCCCACTTCATAAAAAAGAAGTGAGAGGTCGTAGTGTTTTAAAACGATTATGTTGCACATCCTATCATACAAGTTTTTCAGAAGAAGATAATAACTATGTAACTAATATTGTAATACCCAAAATTTTGGTTAGTAACCAAAATATAACTTTTGAAAGTTTAGTGGTTAAAGTATAAAATAGGAAAAAGTTTGATAACCTAAGTGGTAATTTTCTTAAAACAAATTTTTATTCCATGAATAGTTTAATCTTGAGAGTGTGGTTTTATTGAAATCAAATTATTGATCCAGAATTGGTGTTAAAAACTAGAAAGTGTTAAAATCCAGTAAAAATTTGATAAAACAGATCGAATAAAAATTTTGAGAAAATTTGAATTATAATATATTAAGCTTAAAAATATTATTTCCAAATTTTAAAATGATGAAAAATAATAGTATATATTGGATTTGATAAATATTTTCCATGTTCAATTTGGATTACCGATTGAAAAATGAAAAGATTGAAATTTTAGAAAAGTTGTAAAGGGTAAATTAAATTATTTATATTTTACTTTATAAAGATGATAAGGGTTATCTGACTTGGTATAGATGTAATTATCAAATTTAATTAATAGTAAAATTGTCATTTCTCTTTAAATGAATTTTATATTCATTTAAGCTTAAATACATGATAAATTAATATAAAATTAATTAAAATTTCATGAAAACTTGACCATATTTCCCATCCATTACGACCTTCATACTCTAGGTAAAAAAAAATTATTTTTCATTTGTAAGCCAATTTATTAGGTTTTTGGATTAAGACGTAAAATAAAAAGTTATTCTATTCGATGAGCTCTATCATTTGGTACTATTATTGCATGCAAATCTTGATTGAGTTCAAAGATCTCAAATTTTAGGGTTTATATTCATATTAAGGTTTATGAAATTGATGATGGATTTTGAGGCTTTTGAGGTTGTAGAATCATTTCCAAGCTTGTTTGATGATTAAATCATTGATCAAACCTCCTAGAAATGCATTTGGTACTTTCGGCCTAACCCTAAAAACACCATTTTTTTAATTTTCAGCATATCATGTATCCACACATCAACCTACTATTCAAAAAGAATCCATACAAACTTATATTCTACATGCACAAAGTCTTCTGATATAGGCTATATCATTAAGCACATGAAATTCAAAAAAAAAAAAAAAAACTGTTACTACGAGCATCATACATTACTTGTTACTGCAGCAATTGCGATATATGAGACGGCAGTGGAATTTAGAGTTGACAAGCAATTCGTCAAGTGCATTTGAAGCCATGGCAAACGGACAGTACAATGATGAGAATCAAAGCGATCAGGATTCCAATAACTATCAGCTTTATCTTCATGTTTTGAAACCACATCTTTCTCCTCATCTGGGTTCCCTGCTGCCGGAAATCTTGTGCCTATAATGCCCAAAAAAACAACAAATACCCTTTCTATAATCTATAATCTATAATTTTGAAGCACCAGTAGGAGAATCATGTAAGAAATAATCGGGCTTGCTAATTGAAGTGTTCGGCTAGCTCCTGAATATTTGAGAACTAGTATTGATAAAAGCTTTTAAATGAAAGAAATGCAAAACTGAACCGCATATGCTCAAGGATCCCACATTTAACTTAACATTCTTACCCTTGAGTTGCCTTGTGATGCTATCATTAACAGTTTTGTTTTCATATTTTCCAATTAGTCAAATAACAAACCAAATTACTGCCCTACATGTTATGCTGTTTCAACTTTTCATTTTTCGTAGATTACCTATGCCAACACAATTCCAGATATGGTTCTATCATAGTGCAAATATTGCTTAAGTAGAAGAATATGATATTCGTTTGCTGACCTGGGAGCGAAGGTTTTCTGTTTTATCCACAGAAGCTCAATTTTCTCGCCACGGTCCAGAACCTGCAAAATAAATGTTAACAGAAAACACAAAAAAAAAAGATCACAAACGCTTTATTATCATTTTCCATATTTTTGTCAAGCCGGACTATTTCACTTAAAACCCTCACACCACGTGATAGTCCATGTTAGCATGTACATAAAAAAATATGAAAGATGACAATAAGTCAATAATTACCTTCTCAATATTTCCATCATAACTCCTTTGACTTCTGAAACTTGAGCTTTCACCTTGGCAATCTTACTAATCTCCTCAGGATGATCAATGCAATACTGCATATGCTCCTTCAGTTTTGGCCTAGATTAAAGATATAATAAACGTAGCTATCAATGTCCTTGATAACAAAACAAAAAAAGACACTCTTTAACATTATTGCTGCAACTCTGCATTTTCAAGCAATACTTGTGTCTAACATATCCGGTATATATGTACATATGGGTACAAGAATATGACCCTCCAAGAAGGGAAAGATCCTCCAGAAACTGAATTTTAGAACAAAGATAAATTGAACATGCCGTATCGGACAAATACTTGTATCCGACACACAAACTCAAGTACGAATAACATTACTCTTTAAGGTCAAGGAAAAGAAAATACCCAAACTCCTTGGCTCAAGCTGTTTGCAGGAGCAACAGCTTTTCCTCCACCATATCTTGGTAAAATCCTCTTTAATTCTCTCAAGAAATGCCATAGGAACCTGTCGGCCAACAGATTCAATAGCAACCACACAATAAGCTGCAAAGAGAAAGGAGGTCAATTCAAACAATAATGAAGTAACCTTGTGTTTATGATAAAGGATGCAACCCAACACACAAGTTGTGAAGCAACAGGAAAACATCATGTGAGCACCAAATGTACCCAATTTGAAATGAATGCCTAGACTCTCAGTCTTTCAATGTATGAACAAAACATTAATGGACCAAACCGTCCATTCTTCTTCTAAAAGCTATGAAGCAAAGACATTCTGTTAAAGGAGTGTCCAAGTATCAATGCATTTGACACAGAAAAATACATATAGAACATATAATGACACATCAAAAAAAATATAAAGAAAGTTGGGTATGGTCAAAACATGATCGTGAAATGGCTGGCAGTTACACACCCAGAACACAGAATAATTTTTCTTCTTTCAAATATGAAATAAACTATAAGCATTTGATTCTGGTGGAGTTTTTGAAGATTCGAGTTTTAAATAATAATAATAATAATCCATTATCATGTTCATATTTGATAAAAAGCACCAGTTTTTATTATATAGCAATATTCTTACAGTCTTGTACTGTCGTGTATTTTTAAAAATTCACCTATCAGCATGTCTGTTCATATTGTAGGACATTAATCGTTTGCTATAAGTACATATGTACTCAAAATACATAACATGCTAACAATTATTCCAATAAATATGAAGCATAAGCAAAAAATGCCTTCAAACTAAAATTTGAAAAGCACACAATCAGTCAAGTACACTATATTGAAATGACAAAAAAAAAGCAAAAACTTCAAATCTACTCTGTTCAGGCCACTAGAAGCAAGCAAAAGTGAAAAATTAAAATCATATTTGGTTAAGAATGTGCAAATTATGATTAAATTATCGCACACATTTATACGTAATAATAGTTCTATGAAAGTGCACATTTCGATTGCTTATAAAATATTCAAGTTTTTAATTTTCAATTATCCAAAAATGCTAGCACTTGATTTTGTATCGAAATGCGACCCACTGCTATTTGCTTCAATATGTAGCTAAGAAGGCCTTAATAACAATATTTCTACGCGGATTTAATTCATTTTAATCGGAAAAATATTCAATCTTTTAGATAAATTTAAATTTCTAAAGTTACAAATACCACAAGTTTAATCATCTATATTCCTAAAATAGAAAGAATACAACTGATTCTATCAATAACAACGATAAAAGAAGAAGAAAAAAACTTCGTCGTCGAAGAAGCAGCCAAATAAGGCAGATCACAGAGAAATCGATAAACAAAATCGAAAAAATAATAAATTTAATAAAAATGAGAGAGAGAGAGGAGAGATTACTGAAGCCGCTATCGACGAGATAGTTGAAAGTGTGGCCATCACAGTTGTAAGTGAACTTGTTGTTTGAAGCAGGAAGTTTCTGGAGACACTGAGAGCTATGCCGGTGAAGTTGCCGGTGAACTCCGTGTAGTCGGCTAAAATGACCGTGCCTCGCGCCACGAAGGCGTAGATCAACGACGTTGCCCCATCTGAAAACAACTCCTCTCCCACTGAGATGGAACCGAATGAAAAGAGAGGAAAGATCGGAGGTTTTAGATTCAGAGAGGGAAAGAAAGAAAGGAGACTTTCCTTTATCTTTCTCGCTTAGAGGAGAAGCTAAATCTGATCTTTTGGGCCTCCCAATTGAAGGTCCAATACATTATTTCTTTTCAATTTATTCTTTTCCGTTAGGATAATAATACATTTCATCTCTAATACGGGTCTATTTTTTTAATTTGATCTTAATTTTATATAATTCAATAAATTAATCCTTTTCGTTTATACAATCTATTAATTCAACCCTCATTTTAAAAAAAACATAAAACATCTGTTATACATTTAATCTTTAACATGTACATATTCTTTCAATTTGATCCTAATTTTAATTCAAAAATTAACCCTTTCCCTTTATAAACCTATAAATTCAACCCTTATTTTAAAGCATAAACATCTCTATATTCTTTAAATAAGTAACAAAAATAATGAAAGGATCTATCTTAAGTTAGAATAAATGTTTAACCTTAACACTCTCATATTCTTTCAATCAGGTCATATAATTCGATAATTAACCTTTACATCCATATTCTTTCTTCTTTATATGAAAAATTATTTTTTTATCAACTACAACTTACACTTTTATCATCATTTTTTTTATCGTCATTGATGGTTTCTCTGACTTACCATTATCAAAAGATATTTTCTTCTCTCGTTCCCGATCAATTATTTATTTTTTCTCATATTTTTAAGTTCCCAAACTTGTTAAACATGTTTCATTTTTGCTCACCACACCATTAAATTAAATAGTGACCCTATTTCATATGTAATGGAATAAGGGGAGGTAGGGTAGTAGACTGCCCCACTACCAGGTTGAGAGTAGTTTCCGTGAAAGACCTCCGGCAGTCAGAATTAGAATTGCCCATCGTGAGATTCGATCCCGATCACAAGATAAGAGCCTTGCGCTTACCCTCTGGGGGCAATTTAGGGTATATTGTTTCCTATCAAGATGCTTTAGTGATCAGTATGATTTTATGACTGTCTCTAAACATTTAAACCGAAAATGAATTGTATTTCTGACGTTCTTTCCCTTTTCAATCCGAGTTACGTTAAGAGTTTATGACGATTTATGGTTGGGCATTGATTGTAGTGTGATTAGCTTGGTTGGGTGAATGCGGTGATCGGTCGATATGAAGATAATTGAAATTGGCATGTTCACGTTGTTTTTTTTTTCGTTTAAAAAAACCCTGTTCGAATTTAGCACTTATTTAAGGTTATGAGTTTAAAAATAAATATAAAAAACACGAACAACCTGCAAGTAGGGATGATGACAAACAAGCAGGGTGAGTGTTACACCCATCCTTACCTAGGGAAGGGTATGGAACCGAACCTACGGGTTCGACCGACCGACCCAGACGGGTTCCGATCTAACCCGATTGATCGGATCGAGTTTTTT